CTTTCTTTCTTTCTTTCTCGGTCACCTCCTCATATGGAAGTGGTTCTCAACCTGTGGGTCCCCAGGTGTTTTGGCCTACAACTCCCAGAAATCCCAGCCAGTTTGCCAGCTGTTAGGATTTCTGGGAGTTGAAGGCCAAAACATCTGGGACCCACAGGCTGAGAACCACTGTCATAGGCCACCTTCACTCTGACACTAACATCTGGTTTCATCTGTTTTCAAAGCCTCAGAATGTATTTGTACACCTCTTTTTCAATGTTACCAGAAGTGAATAAAGGTAGCATTGGTTGGAGTTTGAGATGGGAAGCGGCACATGTTTTGGGTAGTTCATGCAGCCCTTACCACTTATTTCCCCATGGGTCAGGTAGACCAATAGCCATGCAAACCAACTTCCAGTCTTGTTCAAATGTGTGGAACTCCACTGAAGTGTAGAGAAAGCCAAAATTGTTTTAGGTCACTTTCTCCCCCCTTGGAACAATTTCTATTCATTTGATACTGGAGGGAGATGCCTTTAGCATCTAGTGGTAGTAAAATATGGCTATCATACTTGCCAGAGTATTGGCTTTGTTGTTTTAAACATATACCATGAGCCTGGAGGCTGATAGCATGCTTTGCATTTAATATGTTTTATGGGATTTTAGAATAGAAAGAGCCATGACAGTTAAAGATGTGTCAAACTGCTTTAATTATACAATGTAGATGCACTCTGTGTGATTCAATGGCTTCTAGGTGAATCAGATTTTGGAACAGTTAGGAAAGGCCCCCACCTAACTAAGGCTGGATCTACACTGTCATATAACGCAGTTTAGAAGTGCATTATATTTTCAGTGTAGATCCAGCTTATGCCTACATGTGACTTTTGCTGAGGGCCCTGATTGACCTAAAGGGGTTTCCTTCTTAATTCCTTCCCCCATTTACAGTAGGAACAGCAAAATAATAATAATAATAATAATAATAATAATAATAATAATAATTATTATTATTATTATTATTATTATTATTATTATTTATACCCCACTTTATCTCTCCCAAAGGAGAGTCATCAAAACATCTAGGGAGCAGATGTTTCATTAGCTATGTCACATGATTTTTCGAAACAAAGATGGATATTTGGGGAACTGAATGCATGTTCAGAATATCATTTTTAACATTTTTATGAAACCACTGAGAGAAATCAGTATGTTGATGATACCCTAAATATATTTCTCCATGCCTTCAAAAACAGCCTCAGCTAAGGATAGTTTATCTCCTCTGAATAAGGAAGGGATAGTTAATACTCCAGAAGACAGGAGTAGAATTCAAAATGATCTTAACAAATTAGAGAGATGGGCCAAAACTAACAAAATGAAGTTCAACAGGGACAAATGCAAGATACTCCACTTAGTCAGAAAAAAATGAAATGCAAAGATGCAAATGGGGGATGCCTGGATCAATAGCAGTACATGTGAAAAAGATTCTGGAGTCCTCGTGGACTACAAGTTGAACATGAGTCAATAATGTTGTGTGGCAGTTTTAAAAGCCAATGGGATTTTGGCCTGAATAAATAGGAGCATAATGTCTAGTTCCAGGGAAGTCATGCTATCTCTCTATTCTGCCTTGGTCAGACCACACCTGGAATACTGTGTCCAATTCTGGACACTGCAATTGAAGGGAGATATTGACATGCTGGAGAGTGTCCAGAGAAGGTTGACTAAAATGATAAAGGGTCTGGAGAACAAGCACTATGAGGAGTGGCTTAAAGAGCTGGGCATGTTTAGCCTGCAGAGGAGAAGGCTGAGACGAGACATGTTAGCTATGTATAAATATGTGAGGAGAAATCATAGGGAGGAAGGAGCAAGCTTGTTTTCTGCTGCTCTGAAGACTAGGATGCAGAGCAATGGCTTCAAACCTGAACATTAGAAAGAACTGCCTAAATGTGAAAGCTGTTCAGTCAGTAGAATTCTCTTCCCCGGAGTGTGGTGGGGGCTCCTTTTTTGGAAGCTTTTAAACAGAGGCTGCATGGCCACCTGTCGGGTTTGGTTTGAATGCGATTTTGCTGCTTCTTGGTAGGGAGCTTGACTGGTTGGCCCACAAGGTCTTTTCCAACTCTATGATTCTATGACTGTCTAGATGAGGTAATGAGCTGGATCAGAAAAAAACAACAAATTGAAACTGAATCCAGACAAATTAGAAGCGCTTGTCATCAAGAGTCCTAACCTAGGAATGCAGGTGTGTCAACCCCCTGAAATACTGTGTTTGCAGCTTGGAAATGCTCCTGAATCTGTTTTTCCAAATGTCAGCCCAGGTAGATGTGACAGTCAGTAGTGTTTACTACCAGCTTCAGCTGCACCCCTTCCTAGAATTGGAAGACCTAACGATGGTGGTGCATGCACTGGTAACCTCGAGTTTGGACTTCTACAATGCACTGTACATTGGCTTACCTCTATAATAAGTTCATAAACTATAATTAGTTCAACATATAGCAGCCAGATTGGTTACAGGATCATCCAGGAATCCAAATTAAAGTAACTCCCCTGGCTGCCAACTATTTCCAGGCTAAGTACAAACTTTTCGTTTTGACCTTTAAAGCCCTACATGGTTTGGGTCTAGGTTACCTAAAAAGACCGCCTTCTCTGAACAATCTGCCCCTTAGGACACAGGTTCTCTGGGGGGCTTTTACTCTAACCAGCCAGAACCCAACTGGTGACTGTCACCCAGAAGACTTTTTCATCAGCAGCCCCACGACTGAGGATTGGCTTGCCAGAAGAGATCCGACAGCTAAATGAGGTGTAGGAATTTAAAACGCAATTGAAAACTCATCTCTTCTGGCAGGCCTACCCTGAGTTTTGATTTGCATTCTATTACCACTATATGTCAATTCTGTATCTGTGTTTGGTATAAGTTTTCATATATGTGTGCATTTTAAATCTATGGAATTTAGTAATTTATTGTATTTTTATGTTCATTTGTTTTTGAATGGTTGTACCCTGCCTCGAGCCATCAGGAGAGACGGTAATACATAAAATATATCATCATTTTATCACTGATATTTTAAATCTATGTTCTTTTATGTGAATATGATAGGGTATGAAGGAATGATTAGCATAACCAGACTTAACAATTAATGTATCAATCTGTTCTTAACGGAAATTTAGAAAATGGATCTGATCACTGAAAAACGAGAATTTTAGGAAGTGCCTGCAATTCAGCTATTCTTCTATGAAAAGTTAAGGGATAACTGTGCAGTCAAAGTAACAGGGCCTACCACAATTTAACATTTCCCACAATGCCCTGTACCAATGCTACATCAGGATTTTTTGGGAAATTCAAATGGCAGAGTCACTCATCTCTGTCCAAATTGTCTATTCACTTTGGTTTTTAAAAGGGATCAAAATCAAGCTATCAAGAGTGAGACTGAGCAAAGAAATCAGATGTTGATATTTCTCTGGGGTACATTCTTATATGCATGTGTGAGTGCATATATGCCTTCATGTCACCTGTCAATTTATGGCAACCTCATGAATTGGTTGGTGAATACCAGGTGCTGGAGGCTTTATTTCAAATGAAGAATCTGGCAAAATCACTTCTGAATATTCCTTGACTCAGAAAATGCTCTAGAAATCCCATAGTGTTACCATTTGGATTTCCCATAATACCTTGATTTGGATTTCCCATAATGCCTTGATTTGGATTTCTCATAATAATACCCTGATATATCTAGAATTACTATAGAGCATTGTGGGAAATGTTAAGTACTGGGAGGCCCATCTGCTTGGACTGCTATCATGTCTTTACAGAATTTGACAAGAAACTGCATAGACACAGCTAAAATTATTATTTGATTTCCAGTGAGATCTGTAACTAACTTTTCCAACAGCTAACATTTAATCCTTTGTCATCACTAACATTATACATATTTGTACAATATACAGCTGCCAACACTTGCTGAATCATCAACTATTAGCATCACAACAGGTGAAACACATGTAAAACATAAAAAATAGCTAACAGAACATCCCACAAAAACTTCAAGCACAAACTTCTTTGGGAAGTAAAGTCAAAGGAAACTTTATGCAGGGCCCTTTTCCTACAATAGCCAGACTGCTTTCTCCCCCTTTCTGTTAACAAACTGAATAAAAGAAGCATGTCTGAAAAAACTAAAACAAGACCCAGTATTATTTTTTACACACCTTTACAGTATTTCAACTGTAGAACTTTTATCTGTGAATATCTAGGACCTGCCTTATGGAAAACTAATTATGGAACCACTGAGAGCTTTGTAATGTCCTGCATTTAAGTCCTGAGCATCATACATAATGCATAGGAAGGCTTCTCTGCACTCTGATTACAGCACACTCTCATTAAGTGAGCAAATTAAAGATCTGAATAATTCACTGGCTGAGCTTATTGTCAGTGCTGCATTGTGAAATTAGAATTTCTAATAAGTGCTGCAATTTTTAACCCAATTAACACAGGGAACATCTTGTGTCTGATTAGTACAATAAAATTTATTACCTTATTCCTTGGCTTCAAAACAGCCAGGCTAAATACTGTATTTAATTATCCACCATTTGCAGCTTCTGCACTAAAAGTGTGTCTCTTCAAAAAAAAAAAACACATACACAAAGAAATGGAGAGAAGGAGAGAGGGATTCTCTTCTTCTAAATGTATAGATTTAAATCTAAGCACACCTAACAGAAATCTATTACAGATCAAACCATTTCAAGCAAATTCCATCTGTGTGAGTGAGACTTTACATCCCTGCTTTTAGCCCTAAGCATGATGTCAATGATGGAAACCAGCAACTCTTAACAGATTCATTTCATTTTGAAAAGAAGCAAACCTGGCAAAGTAATGTTTACAAGCCACACAAATGGATGCAAGGCTGTACATTAACTTCTGACGCTCAGGAAGCATAGCTAAGGCACATTTCATCTCTGTTCCTTTGGGCTTGAAACCTTGAAAGGACAGCCATTTAAAAAAACAAAACAGGACCAACAAGATTGAAGCAGATTCCTTACCTCTGGTCTCTTTGTCATTCCGGAGAACTCCGACCTCTTTTGCTACTAAATCCAACTCACTGGGCATGCAGCATGTTGCGCCTTCTTGGAAGACACTGAGAATCTGCTGCCACAGAGAAAATGTAGCTGCCGGACTGCAGGCTTTTGTGCTGATGTGTTTCCTCTGCTGTTGTATTTTTCATGCCAAAGATAATCAAAAGTCCAGGAGATCTGCTTGCTCTGAAGGGTCCACTATAGAGTCTCTCGCCTAGGTACTTTGTCCTAGGCAACTTTAATGAGAGAGCTGGAGAGGGAGTCAGCGAAAGCCCAAATTAAGAGTATTACCTCCACTCTTACTCCCCTGCTGCTTCATTGTTTCATGCCTGGAACAACTATCTTAAAATCTTTGCTTGGAGGATATTATAGCTTTGTCCTGCAGAAAAGACTATGCAGGGAAAGAGAGAAGATGGAATAAAGATGGTCTGAAAAATCAGACAGACACAATGAGAGAGAGGTGGGGGGACTGGAGAAAGAGGCTGCTAGTGGAGAGAAAAATCTGCATATGGAAATTAGGGTTACTCTGGGTATAGACTTATTTTAACCATGGCGTCCTTTGGGGGGGGGGGGGGATAATGAGAAAGGGATTTTTTTAACCCGCTTAGAGCAAGCAAGAAAGATTTAGTGAGTTACAAAATATTCCACTTTGCCACAGCAGAGGAAAGTTAACTTTAGTGGGAAAAGAAGTTCTGTGTTCTCTCTGCAATCAATACACAGAAAGAGTAGGCAGGAAGTTGGTTTACAAAATCCTTGAAAGCAAGAATGTTATACCAGAACTACAGTAAATAAGAGTCAGTACAGTTTGCCTTCTATACCCATGGATTCTTCATTCACAGATTCAAACATCAACACTTGATTTTTTTCAAAGCCACAAAATAAATCTTGTTTTTTCCTTTTTATATGAGGCCTGCCATTTTACCTTTCCACTGTGAACAATGGGACTTGAGCATCCATGGATTTTTGTATCCACTGGTGTCCTGGAACTAAACTTCAGTGGATACCAAGGGTCACTGCATAGGATATAGTGCTTGAAAGCCTGACTTAACTTCCATCCTGCCAATAATCAAAGTGGGTGACTTGGTAGCCCCCCTCTAGACACATTGCAGTTTGTCAATATCCTTTTTGAAGTTTGCTGCCCAGAACTGGATCTTAAATAGGGTTGAGTAGGCTTGGCAACCCACATAATGAAATTGCCATGATGGCAGAAACACTGTGATCCACTGCCACTCTCAGGAAATCAATCTGCATGTTGGATCAGAACTACTTTAAGCGTCCTCTCTATGCTAACACCTTGGAGCTAGCCTAGGAAGATATCATGGCTGATGGTATCAAAAATTACTGAGAGGGTTACAGTGATTCTGTCCCATAAAGGAGTTGACCAAGACTGACTACATGCCCAAATGTGGTCTGAGTTCAGACACAAATGGGGATCTCAAAAATCTATGTCTACCAAGATCCTTTGGAGTTGTTGCCACCCTACTCTCAAATGCTTAGTGTAAAAAGGGAAAACTTTTAACTGGGCAATGTATGTGATTATATGCCTTCAAGCCACTTATCAGAAGAAGGAATGTGAAATAATTGCATTTTAAAAGCAGCTGGCAGTACACCCTTAAGTAATGACATGCTGACCATTCCCTAGATCCACCTGTCCAGTTTCCAATCACCAACAATCGTCTTAACAAACCAGGATGGGCAAGGATCAATAGGACATGTGGCTGGACACACTGCACCAAATCACTTATCTATATTTGCTAGTTGAATGAGCAAAATCTGACCCAACAAAAGTGATTCAGATAGTGTACTATCAAGGCTTTTTTCAGCCTAGTGTCAACATCACAGTGGAAACCAGCAATAGTTCTCTTAATTATTATAGTAGGTTCCCTACATCCATTGATTCAATAATTCGTGGCTTGAAATTATTCAATAAAACATCCAAAATGCAAACCTTGATTTTGCCATATAAGCAACACCATTTTATAGAATGAGATTTGAGCATCCACAGATTTTGAGATCCCCAGAGAGTCCTAGAAGCAAACCCCAGCAGAAACCAAGGCCCCACTGTACATTTTAATATGATAATTCCTGTTAAAAGCAAACAAAAACAGTGCTCCAGACATTCAGCAGACATATACATTCATTCACACACATAGAATCATAATTGCTGCGAGGTGGGCCTCTAATCTCCATGTAAAAGTCATCAGTGGGCAATCACTGTTTTCAGGGGTAGTCCATGTCATCAGACAACTCTTATTATAAGGAAAGGCATAATTTTATTGAGTAAATTTAACATCACTTGATGTCTGAAGTCTAGAGTCACCTGCTTGAACTTTACATGGACTTTTACTGTTTCCTTTGTGTTTGACACAATCTCGCCTCCCATGCTCTCTTTCATAAATTCAGTCATTGTGTGTGACTATTGACTCTATTCTTCAATGTGTGCAACCTGCCTATGTGCCAAGAATTTTTTACTTTCAATATTGGCAACATTTTTACTGGAAGGTAAATCACCTGGGTCCAATGGTATAGGGTTTTTTTTTTCCAGAATGACATTATGAATGGTGTTTGCAAGAAGACAATTGCCTAACTTGTCCTTTTATTTGAAGCCAGCATGCATATTCATTTTGGATTATGATTTCTTGATATGAGCTTCCAAACAAGAGGTGTTCTCAGATTTTTCCTGCAATCATACAATTTAATACAGTTGACCTTTTAAAACAAATGTTTGGTTGTTTTTTCAATAAGAATGCACAGGATTGTGGCCTATCACAAATCCTATTGTATTTTACTGAGAATTACTACAGGGTGGCACAAAGTTCTAAGCCCTAGCCAGCATAACCAACAGGACTTGCAGTTCAACAAAATCTATAGGCTCACATGATTCTCATTCCTGCTTTAAATTAAGAGTGGGTGACATATGAACCTTTGAGTGTTGGATTACAACTTCACCATTAGCTACTCTGGATAGGCCTGATGAGAGCTACAGTTCAGTGACAGTTTGCCTGCCTCTACATTATACTAGTAGCCAAATGTGACTCTCTGGGGTTTTTTCTCCCAATGTACAACACTATCAGCAAAAAGTATCATGCAATTATAAACATACTAAGAACCACCATTGCCTTCCCTTACAATTGAGGGCAGCGAGGGGTGGGTGTGGGGGTGGACAGGAATTGAGAATGGAACCAAAACAGGGGAAATGGGGAACTCTGAAGGGTCTAGAAATCTGTTTCTGGTTTTGAAAAATGTGGAGAAAGATGTATCCACATGGAAATCCAAATCCTCAATTAGTATATATAATCAATAATATTATGTATAATAAATATTATGAAAATATATACAGAACATGGAATAACCATGGCCTCAAGGCAATTAAATATGACTGAATAATGCCCCAATAACATTATTCAATTATTTGTTAATTGTGTACTGCCATGGTGCACTGATATGTACACATATATCCAAACTCCAGCCATTTAATGAAATATAGAGTACGGGCAGTCCGAGAGTTACAAGCATCCGACTTACAAACAACTCAGTTATGAAAAGGGGTGAGACAACAGGAAGTGAGTGAAATCTGCCCCTAGGAAGGGAAATTCACTTTTGAAAGAGTTTAATGGGGAAAAGGTGTCTCCACCAAAACTTTTATCACCCATCCTTGTTTCCACAACAAATCAAATTTTAAAAATCCAATTATCACAGGGAATGTGAGGTGAAATCTTTTGAAAAGTTGCACAGACAGCAAAACAAACTCCACAGCAGTGTTAACTCTTCCTTATGTTATCCAAAACTAAATATGTTTTGGCAATGGGTCCGTAACTGACTGTGGAGGCCTATTCTTGATCTGCATGTTCTTCCACAGTGAGAACATTGTTTTCCAGATGGAAGGCGGTCCCAGTCAGGGCTGGCTTGATGCGCCTTCCTCTTGACCTGTTTCTCCCTTTTGCCTTCCATTAGTGCATCTTCGAGTTCCACAGCACTTCTGGTCACAGCTGACCTCTAGTTAGAACGCTCAACTGGAGGTCAGCTGTGAGGGCATCCCAGTTCTTGGTGTCAATGCCACAGTTTTTAAGGTTGGCTTTAAGCCCATCTTTAAATATCTTTTTCTGTCCACCAACATTCCATTTTCCATTATTGTGTTGAGAGTATAGTAGTTGCTTTGGGAGACGGTGACTGGGCATTTGGACATGGTAAATCCAGTGATGGAGGAGAATTGTTGCTTAAGTGCTGGTAGTCTTTGCATCTTCCAGAATGCAGATGTTTGTCTACCTGTCTTCCCAAGAAATTTGCAAGATTTTTGAAGGCAAACTGATGGAATCATCCCAGAATACGAGAGTGATGTTTAGAGACAGTCTATGTTTTGCAGGTGTACAACAAAGTTGGAAGGACAATAGCTTTATAAACAAGCATCTTGGTATCCCTACGAATGTCCCAATTCTGAAACATTCTGCTTCATTTGAAAAAAAAAATGCTGCACTTGCAGAGCTCAAGCGGTGTTGTATTCCAGCATTGGTGTTAACTTTTGTGGAGAGGTTTTGTGGAGTGGAAATGGTCAATATTTTCTAATGTTACGCTATCAAACTGTTTTTCTGGCATTGCATAGGGATAGGTTGGTTTTCTCGATATTCAGTGAGAGGCCAAGCTTTTCATATGCTCCTGAGAAGGTCTTTGAGGCGGCTTGTAGGTCTTTGTCTGAATGAGCGCAGACTACATTACCATTAGCATATTGTTCAATAATAACAATAACAATAGTAACTTTATATTTATATTTATTTATTTCAAACATTTATATTCCGCCCTTCTCACTCTGCAGGGGACTCAGGGCGGAGCACAACATATATACGGCAAGCATTTCATGCCGGGACATAAAACCATAAATATATACAAACATTAAAATCACTTATATCTACTTTAAAATCAGTTGCTTAAAAACCATCTCAGGACACCATTCTATTTTTGCCTCACTGCACTGCCCCAAAGGTTTGGTCCCTGCCACCATTTCTCTGAAGGGACTCACAAGCAGGACCAAACCCAGCAGCAACAGAGTTAATCAACTAAAAACACATTTAAAGACATGATTAGCATATACCAAACAAATTAAACAATTAAAAACAGTAGAGTTTAAAAATATCATTAAAATGAAACAAAGCAAACCTCAATAACAACAAAAGTTGTTTTGACCTTACTTTTGACTTTCAACCTGCTGAAGTTAAATAGCTTGCCATCTGTCAGATAGGTGATTTCCACACTGGTGGGAAGCTTCTTACCGACAAGATGCATAATCATTGCTATGAACATGGAAAATAAGGTTAGGGCAATAACACACCCCTGTTTGACACCTGATCCCAACTTAAATGGGTCATTTTGGGAGCAGTTGCAGTTCGAAACTGCTGCCATCATGTCATCATGGAAGAGCTGCAGGATGTTCACAAATTTATCAGGACTTCTGATTTTCAGGAGAATGGCCCAGAGAGCATTACGAGACTAACTAAAGACTATATAAGCAATGAAATATGGTTTATCAGTCACATCAGGGGTGGCTCAACCTGTTACGCAAAGTAAGCATTTGCAGTATAGTTGATTTTGCCCAGGGGCGCTCTTGAGGCGCTCTTGGGGGAAAATAGACCTTGACATATGTGAGTTATAGTTACTGAGATGTATAGTTAACCTACAATCAAAGAGCATTCTGAACTCCACCAATGATGGCATTGAACCAAATATGGCACACAGAACTCCCACGACAAACAGAAAATATATATCAGTGATTGGTTGGGGGCGGGGGGCGCCAAAATACTGTTTGGTTACCATTGAAAATTACCTAGGGCCGCCTCTGAGTCACATGTAAGTGCCTTGATTCTTTGGATCCTCTGTGCTCTGCATATTTTTCATAATATTATTCACTTTTCTGTTTGTTTGGATCCCTTCCCACAGTGTTTCCTGCTTATTGCTTTGAATGTATGTTTAGATCATCTCATAAAAAGTTAAGACAGCTTTCCAAGCAAGGGTGCCTCTATGTCCGGCATGGGCAAACTTTGGTCCTCCAGGTGTTTTGGACTTCAACTCTCACAATTCCTAACAGCCTACTTGTTGAAGTCCAAAACACCTGGAGGATCAAAGTTTGCCCATGCCTGATCTATATTGTCGAATCAATGTGGTTTGAGACCACTTGAACTGAGAGCTCAATGCTATGGAATAATAATAGTAATAATAAAACTAATAAAAATTGAACTGCAAAGACTCTGGCACAAGCCAGTAAAGGTGGTCCCAGTGGTGATTGGCACACTGGGTGCAGTGCCTAAAGACCTTGGCCTGCACTTAAACACAATTGGCGCTGACAAAATTACCATCCACCAGCTGCAGAAGGCCACCTTACTGGGATCTGCATGCATTATTTGCTGATACATCACACAGTCCTAGACACTTGGGAAGTGTCCGACATGTGATCCAATTCAACAGCCAGCAGAGTGTCTGCTGTGGACTCATCTTGTTGTGTTTCACAAAATAATAATAATAATAATAATAATAATAATAATAATACACTTTATTTATACCCCGCCACCATCTCCCCAGAGGGGATTTGGGGAGGCTTACATGAGGCCAAGCCTGGTAATACAATTACAGCACAATAAGTACAAAAAGAGCAAAAATAATATCGCAATAAAATAAATAAAACATAAGAATAAAATAAAAATAAAATAAAGCAGTGCAAAATACAAAGGGAGTTGTAGTATGGTGAGGCACCTGCACCTCTGGAGGAGAAAAGGTTAAAACATTGCAGAACTGCAATTCCCAGGATCCCATTGAGCGATTATAGTGAAAGCAGTGTGGAACTGCATTAATTCTACAATGTAGATGCACTTTGTGAACTTAAATCAAACTAATGGATCCTGCTAAATGAGGATTTGCAAAAAAAATATCCAAAGGAGACAGGAAAGAAGACTCTTCTTGTCTCAACTTTAACTTGAAACTCGTGGGGGTTTCAAGTCCAAACTCAGTCGAAGAAGTGCAAGAAGATTTCCTTCCTGCTCCATTCCCTCTCCCGCCCTTGCGGAAATGCAGAGGCGCACGCGTTACGATGGGCGTACCTTTTCGTCCAATCGGGTTCGTTTACGTCAGAGCTGGTCACCGCCGGCGCGCGCGCGGGAATTACAGCTGGAGTTTTCCCGGGGATTCTGCAGAGGAAGGAGAGCGGTTGTTGCTCAAGTCTCCCAGGTGAGCTTTGCAAGCGGTGGGTCCTTGTGGGCTCTTCCTAGGTTGGCTCCTTTGCTCCGAGGTTTGTGCCCAAGCCACATTATTCAGTGCTTGTTAGCATGGCGCGCTGATATTATTTACTATTTATTTATTTACTAGATTTGTATGCCGCCCCTCTCAGCCCTGCATCTGCACTGTGGAATGAATGCAGTTTGGCCCCACTTTAACTGGCACGGCTCAATGCTCTGGGGTCATGGGAATTGCAGTTTTCTAAGACTTCAGCCTTCTCTGCCAAAGAGTGCTTCTCTGCTTTACCCAACTCCTAATCCCACAGGGAAATAATGGTTTTGCCTTTGCCTTCCTCTGAAGCTGAGAATGTGTGACTGGCTCAAAGTCCATGGCAGAGGGGGCATCTGCAGGGTTGCTGTGACTTTTCTGGGCTGTATGGCCATGTTCCAGAAGCATTCTCTCCTGATGTTTTACCCACATCTATGGCAGGCATCCTCAGAGATTGTGAGAATAGAACTCTTGTCTGTTTGAGGGAAGTGTGAATGTTGCAGTTGGCCACCTTGATTAGCATTTTATGGCCTTGCACCTTCAAAGCCTGGCTGATTCCTGCCAGGTGCATCTACACTTCAGAACTACTACTGCTGCTGTTTATTTGTTTAGTTGCTTCCAACTCTTAGTGACTACCTGGACCAGCCCACGCCAGAGTTCCCTGTGGCCACCCCCAGTTCCTTTAAAGTCAAGCCAGTCACTTCAAGGATACCATTGCCCTTGGTCGGTCCCTCTTCCTTTTTACTTCCATTTTCTCCAGCATCATTGTCTTTAAGCTTTCCTTTCTTCTCATGATGTGGCCAAAGTACTTCATCTTTGCCTCTAATATCCTTCCCTTCAGAGAACAGTCGGGCTTTATTTTCTGAAGTATGGACTGGTTGGATCTTCTGGCGGTCCAAGGCACTCTCAGAACTTTCCCCCAGTACCGCAGTTCAAAAGTGTCTATCTTCCTTCGCTCAGTCTTCCTTATGGTCCAGCTGCTGCTGCTGCTGCTACTACTACTACTACAAATAATAATAATCTTTATTTGTACCCCGCCACGATCTCCCCAAAGGGACTCAGAACAGCTCACAGAAGCACTCCAAGTGCCACATGCAGACAACAATAAGTAATGTATTATCGAAGGCTTTAATGGCTGGAATCACTGGGTTATTGTAGTTTTTTTGGGCTATACAGCCATGTTTTAGAAGCATTCTCTCCTGACATTTCACCTGCATCTATGGCAGGAATCCTCAAAGGTTGTGAGGTCTGTTGGAAACAATAAATAAGCATAAATGCAATAGATGCGAGAGCTGGACCATAAGAAAGGCTGAGCGAAGGAAGATAAATGATTTTGAACTGTGGTGCTGGAGGAAAATTCTGAGAGTGCCTTGGACCGCAAGAAGATCCAACCAGTCCATACTCCAGGAAATAAGATGAAGCACTTTGGGCACATAATGAGAAATCAGGAAAGCTTGGAGAAGACAATGATGCTGGAGAAAATGGAAGGAAAAAGGAAGAGGGGCAGACCAAGGGAAAGATGGATAATAATAATAATAATAATAATAATAATAATAATAATAATAATAAACTTTATTTGTACCCCACCACCATCTCTCCAAAGGGGACTCGGAGCAGCTTACATGGGGCCAAGCCCGAACACAATTACAATATAACAATACAAATTACAATCAAATAAACAACATAACAGTAATATATAAAACATCAAAGTATATAAAACAATATACACAAAACTTAGGAACTAAGCATAATGGCAGACAAACAAAGGGTGGGCCGCATGTACATAAAATGATTTTTTTTTAAAACTCCGGGTGAAATAAGGGGGGAGAACTAATTGTAAGGGCGAACTCATAGATAGGAAATCCTTGAAGTGACTGGCTTGTCTTTGAAGGAGCTGGGGGTGGCCATGGCCGACAGGGAGCTCTGGTGTGGACTGGACCATTAGGCCATGAAGAGTCAGAAGCAACTGAATGAATAAACAACAACAACAAAGTATAAAAATCTCATTAATAAAATTATAATATTTTGAAAATTATAAAATTCCTAAAACGCAGTGGACCTGCTAATGAAGTTTGACACCACTTTAACTGCCACAGTTTAATGCAGTGGAATTTTGGAGGTTATGATACGGTGAGGCAAAAGCACATTTTGGCAGAGAAGGCTAAAAATCATCTGAAACTACAAATATTTCACAGCATTGAGCCATGGTAGTTAAAGTGGTATAAATATTTCATTCATTCTATAGTCAAGTTGCATCCTGAGCAAGGAATCCTACCCTCAGGTGGATCTCCACTGTAGAGTTAGTGCAGCTTGACACTGCTTTAACCGCTCTCTCTCACCTTTGGTTCTTAGTCCCCATGAGTGCTTGTTTGTAATTTTGCAGAAGGCACATATTGTTATGGATAAACAAGAAACAATCTTGTGGCATCTTACAAATTTAACAAGTTTTACTCAATATGAACGTTGTCTTGTGCCAAAGGAAACCTCTTAGAATCTAAAGTGTCCCAAGACTCTTTGGTCTTCCTGCTACACATGTAAAGTGGCTATCCACCTCAAAAACCTATCATGAATTTTAATTCCTCTTAGATGCTTAGTTATAGATGTGAAGAGCACAAGAGTGTCCCTGATCAAAAGCATGAATAAATCTGAATACAGAAAAAGGAGCTCTTCTGGTTTATCATCCACTGCTGTGACAAACTCAGCTTGATATAAGACACACCTAACCTTAGAAATACTTCCTCAAATCACTTGCAATATTCTAATATAAATTTTTCCAGCACCAGTTGTGTTGTCCTGATTTGCCCCTCAAGAACAGCCTTAATACCACATTGAAAGTAAATGAAGAATTCCTAACACATATATTTAATCAGTATCTGTTTTGGTGTTAATACTGATAATTATGACGTACTATCAGTACTAATAAGTAATAATATGTAGTTATTAATATTAGCACTCGGGCATTATTATTATTATTATTATTATTATTATTAAACATGTGGGAACAGTTTGCACCCAGTTTCTCAACCTTTAATTTTTGATTTAGTGACATGTTAACAATTTTATGCTTTTTACACAAAATAAATAAATGAAAGTTCACTAGTCGCTCCCAACAAAGGATTCCTCCAGACAGGAAGCAACCAGGCTTTGAAGCTGCAAGGTCATTCAATGTTAATCAAGGTGTCCAATTGCAACATTCACACTTGCCTCAAACAGACAAGAGTTCTTTCTCCAACCCTGGACATTCCACTGATATATAAACCCCACTTGTCTAGTTTTCCAACAGACCCCTCAACCTCTGAGGATGCCTGTCATAGATGTGGGTGAAATGTCAGGAGAAAATGCTTCTGGAACATGGCCATACAGCCCGGAAAACTCATAGCAACCCAGTGATCCCAGCCATGAAAGCCTTAGGCAACACAAATTTTAAAAAAAATGAAATCATAAATACACGTTTATAGTCCATCATGGTGTAGTGATCTGAGCATTGAACTATGACTCTGGAGACGAGAATTCAAACCCCTGTTCAATCATGGAAATCCAGTGTCTGATCTTGGGCAAGCCTCTCTCTCTCAACCTCAAGAAGAAAAAGCAAACCCTCTCTAAACAAATCTTGCCAAGAAAACCCTGTTCTCCATTTCCCTTAGGGTCTCCTTATGTTTGAAGTGACTTGAAGACATATAGTAACAACTATTATTATTACTATTGTACTGTTGTTATACACAGCGGATCTGAGTTGAGAATTGTGTTGGCTCCAGATTGTTACTCCAATCCTTCCTCTCCCTTGCTGCCATCCAGTGCTATTGGGAACTGCACATCATAAATATCTAGATATTAACACTATTCTCACCCCAAAACTAGGCAGTAATGCTAACCACAATTGGGACAGCCCCCTCCTCAATGTGTAGCTTGATAGATGAGGATTCCTTTGTTGCAACAGCTGGCTGCTGATCCATACCCAGGCCCAGTTCAGAAGGTTGGTTTCAATCTATAGATCCATATATTGCTCAGGTCAAGGCTATTTCAAGGACTATATTTTTCAGTATGAACCCCTCCGTGTTTTGAAATCATCTGAGAAAGCCTTTATTTCTATCCCACCACCTTCACAGGTGAGAACATAGGAGAGGGCCTTCTCTGTGAATTTCATGCTTTTGACACGAAATAAATAAATAAAGTTAACAAGTCACTCCCAACAAAGGATTCCCTAAGCAGCATCCAGCCAGGCTTTGAAACTGCAAGGCCATTAAATGCTAATCAAGGTGGAATTCCCCAGGCACTGGAATTCCCTTTCCAGGGTACATCTATACTGTATAATTAATGCAGTTTGACACCACTTTAACTGTCATGGTTCAATGGCAAGGAGTCCTGGAAGTTGTATATTAGTGAGCACTGGAAGTCTTTTGGCAGAGAAAGTGAAAGATCTTGTAAAACGACAACTCGCAGGATTTTATAGCCGTAAGACATGGCAACCAACCTGATGTCAGTATGTAGATGCACCCTCAGAGGAGTTATATGGGCACCCTCCCTGCTTTCTAACTGCTCTCAAGTAAAGACTTTTCTGTTTCAACAGGAGTTTGGACATTGATTGTATGAGGTCTGTACATGCTTTACCCATCCGCTCATGGTTTTTTAAAATTCCTTTTCTCTGTTCAGCTGTTAAAATGCTGATCCATATTTTAGTTCAAAAACATGCAAATGTGAGTAGATCAATAGGTACTAAACGTACTGGATTTTTCTAATGGATGTGTATTTGTAGTTTAATGGTTTATGTTTTCTGATCATTTAAGCGCTTAATTTTTGTATTTTATATAACTATATGCTTCTAAATCTCTTGTGACATACTTTGAGTCTTGAACTAGGAAAAGGGTTGAAAATAACAACAGCAGCAGCAGCAACAATGTACTTAATTCACAAAGCACTGGAAGGAAGCAAGCAATAACATTTTCTGAATGCTTTTTACATTTGTTATTTAAGCACTCATTTTAATATGACTAATAATAATAATCACTGCTTGTGATAGTGAATTACAAGATATTTGTCCTTTCCACAACTTTTAAATTAAATTAATAGTTGTGGTGTTTGTCTTGTTTCTCATTTTGACCAGTATGACCCCACTCCCTGGATATGAACCGCCAGTCTTTCGGTCAGCAAGTTCAGAAGCTCAGTGGTTTAACCCACTGCATTTTAGATCTTTATATTGCATTTATTGTATTTTGAGGTATGGATAGAAATTGTTTAGTATTAATAGTGGAATGTACCATCTCTGCCTTTAGAAAAACTTTTAGAGAACAATACGTTAAAAATAAAATAAAATTATATTTCCAGACAGAAACAAAGAAGCACTTGAGAGATCTTCATGGGAGATCTCTCAGGGAATGCCGTGGATGTAGCATACCTGGATTTCAGTAAAGCCTTCGACAAGGTCCCCCATGACCTTCTGGCAAACAAACTAGTCCAATGAGGGCTAGGCAAAACTACGGTGAGGTGGACCTGTAATTGGTTAAATGGACGAACCCAGAGGGTGCTCACCAATGCTTCTTCCTCTTCATCCTGGAAAGAAGTGACGAGTGGAGTGCTGCAGGGTTCCGTCCTGGACCCGGTCCTGTTCAACATCTTTATTAATGACTTAGATGAAGGGTTAGAAGGCAGGATCATCAAGTTTGCAGACGACACCAAATTGGGAGGGATAGCCAATACTCCAGAGGACAGGAGCAGGATTCAAAACGATCTTGACAGATTAGAGAGATGGGCCAAAACTAACAAAATGAAGTTCAACAGTCACAAATGCAAGATACTCCACTTTGGCAGGAAAAACAAAATGCAAAGATACAGAATGGGGGACAATGCCTGGCTTAGAGTACGTGTGAAAAAGATCTTGGAGTCCTCGTGGACAACAAGTTAAACATGAGCCAACAATGTGATGTGGTGGCAAAAAAAGCCAATGGGATTTTGGCCTGCATCAATAGGAGCATAGTGTCTAGGTCCAGGGAAGTAATGCTCCCCATGCTCTATTCTGCTTTGGTTAGACCACACCTGGAATATTGTGTCCAATTCTGGGCACCACAATTCAAGAGAGATATTGACAAGCTGGAATGTCGAGAGGGCGACTAAAATGATCAAGGGTCTGGAGAACAAGACCTATGAGGAGCGGCTTAAAGAGCTGGGCATGTTTAGCCTGAAGAAGAGAAGGCTGAGAGGAGATATGATAGCCATGTATAAATATGTGAGAGGAAGCCACAGGGAGGAGGGAGCAAGCTTGTTTTCTGCTTCGCTGGAGACTAGGACGTGGAACAATGGCTTCAAACTACAAGAAAGGAGATTCCATCTGAACATGAGGAAGAACTTCCTGACTGTGAGAGCCGTTCAGCAGTGGAACTCTCTGCCCCGAGTGTGGTGGAGGCTCCTTCTTTGGAAGCTTTTAAACAGAGGCTGGATGGCCATCTGTCAGGGGTGATTTGAATGCAATATTCCTGCTTCTTGGCAGGGGGTTGGACTGGATGGCCCATGAGGTCTCTTCCAACTCTATGATTCTATGATCTTTCCACAATTACAGCAGAAGTAAGACATGTGGCAGAGCGTTTTCTATTACAAACAGGATTCACTCCGGCTAGGGGTGATCTAAGTATGGTCTGTAAACTTCATGCAATATCTCCAGTGTATTCAAACTTGGGGAAAATGATGTAAAATCAGATCTTCAGAACTTCCTTGAGGGAGGGGCACAATTTAACATTTATTTTGGACTGTCTGGGTTTGGTTGCGTTTCTTGAGCTACATTTCTTTTCAAATTGCTCTCCCCACAGACTTTGAAAAAAAGGTTTTGCCTTCCCCCAGACTTTTCCCATTTTTAACTAGGCAATCACATCTCTTGATTGGGATCCTGGATGGAATCTGGTTCGAGCCACAGAGTTGCCACAGAGGTCCTGTGGATGCTCAACAGCTGCACTTTAAATACCCCTGTATTTAAATTTTGTGGCACTGGGATTCCTGTGCACTGACAGGAATCGTGATGCTATTTCACATATTACTTAGCGTTTCCAGTGGTTCGATTTCAAGCTTTAGCTTAGTATATGAAAATAATTCTGACAGTCCTATATTCAGAAAACGAAGCACTTCAAAACAAAGCAGCCCACGTACTGTCTGATTCCAGGGAGAAACATAAACAATGGATGATGATTTCCTGGCTTCCTCGGTGCCTTCGTCTTTCCCGGAGAGCTTAGAGATGGCAATGGAAGTGGAGGCCCAATCCTCCAGGCTCTTCAACTTCTCCTGTGCTTCAGACCTTACAAATGGAGGGAAAAGCTTTTCTCCTGATTCTTACTTAGCAAGTGGATCTTTTAAGAGGTATGTAGAACTGGAAATGTCCCTCTTGGGGCTTTTATCTTGGGAGTGGGGGAGAGGGGAATGAAACTATTGGGCAGGCTTAATTTTACAGAGAACGTTTCAGCGGCATAATTACTTTGAGGAGTATTAAAATCCCCTGTGTGTGTGAGTGAGTCTGCGTGTGTTCAGGACTGAGAGTTAGGAATGTTTAATTAGTTTCTTCTAACAGCTGCTGTGTGCCACAACGATCCCATTAGTGTCTTTGACTTTTGTTTGAGCAATGGTTTTTGGGATCCAATTCATAACATTCCTGATGTGGCGTGGCAATTACTGAAAAGAACACCTTCCGTCTCTATGGGTTTTATAATTCAAGAGAAAAGTATTCATAGGCTGACCCTGTGGCCAACACCATGACCCAATGGAAAAACAGTACTGTTTTACAAAAGTCATCATCCAGTCTGTGGTACTGGTTCATTGCCACTGCCTTACGACGTGGTGGAAACGTACCTGTGGCAATTTTGCCCCTGTTAGTAGCGTATGAAATGTGCTTTAGAGTATTCAGATTCTCACAGCTATAATGCTCCTTATCTCTTAAACTAAAAAGGTAGGATCAATTCATACTATTGTTATTTGTGCCCTGTCTTATTTCTGACTTGCATGTCAGGAGCGATTTGAGAAACTGCAAGTTGCTTCTGGTGTGAGAGTATTGACGGTCTGCAAGGAAATTGCCCAGGGGACACCTGGATGTTTTTACCATCCTGTGGGAGGCTTCTCTCATGTCCCATATGAGAAGCTAGAGCTGTGACAGATGCAAGCTCACCCCACTCCCCGGATTCAAACCTCCAAATTTCCGGTCAGCAGTCCGGCTGGCACAAGAGTTTAACCCATTGCACTAACAGGGGCTCCTATTTGGAAGCTGATTATAAAGCAAGAGCTGCTTTGTTTCTTTTTGTGAAAGAACAGCTATTTTGTGTTACGTGAACACCTACACAGTACTGTGTATATTCATAGATATCAGCAAGCTGTGAATGGAGTAAATGCCATGCTATCCAAGTTTTTACAGATCAAAACTGGGACTTACATAGTTAGATACATACAAGTGTGGTGTGGATGGCATAGGTTATTGATGAAGAGGAGAGGCTGCAGCAGTTTGCTTTTGCTAGATCTACAAGGAAGAGCAAGATTTCCCCCCGCTTTTGTTATCCTGCTGAACTAATTGAGTGCAAACTGCTTTTGCACTGACTCAGTATGCATCTACACTGTAGCATTAATGCAGTTTGACAGAACTATAACTGCAGCGGCTCAATTCAGTTGAATCCTGAGAGGTGTAGTTTCACAAGGTCTATAGTCTTCTCTTCCAGACCCTCACCAAACTCCAATTCTCATGATTCCAAAGCATTAAACCACACCAGTTAAAGTGATGTCAAACATCATTAATTATTCAGTGTACGTTCGCCCTCAATTTTAAGAACTGAATTACCAGTAAGGAGAAAGAGGAAGAAGTAGACAGAAACTGGGATGTTTCTGAAAAAGTGGAAATATTGAAATTTAATTGGGACTGTTCTTGCCAAATCAGGACACTTGTGTATATGAATAAATAATTAAAAGCAAGATTGCGATCTATTGATAAAATATTCGTTTATGCATTGCATATATTTATGACACTATTCAAACAATCTAAATAATGATGGCTTTTCTTTTATTCAGGATTTTGCTGGGATTAGATCCTTTTCCAACTGATTATGAGGAAGACACAATAGAATTGTTTGGTTTTCAGTGGGTCACCGAAACTGCTTTAGTTGAGTCTTGTACGCTTCTCTTTGGATTATTAAGGTATGGTTTTTAATCTCTCTGTTTTGAGACTATTGTTACAAATTGATATTCAATTGCAAAATATATGGCATTTCTGGAGTGTGGATTTGAATATTTTGATCTAGTCTGTCAGATATTGAATCCTAGAACATAGTTATTGAATCTAAATGGTAGGGGCATCCAGCTGTACAGGCTGTGCACACAGGCACACAAAGTACAGGCCAACAGAATCTCATAATTGCATGCTAAAGCACACTCTTCCAAGGGAGAATTCTTTTCAGTAATTGCATTGAACTTTCACAGTGTGTTCCTGTGGTCAGGGCAAGATGTCTACAGTTTGGCTGAAGCCAGGGAGGCTCTCTGCACACTTGGCAGCACAACATAAAATCAGTGCCATCCTAGCCAAAGTGGAAGCATGCATAGGAGTTACATCCACGACGATGCAGCAGCTTTATCAATTGAAGCTCTATAGATAGAGGATGGCAATGGAACCAAGATGTGGTAGAATCTGCTGGAAGACCATATCTCTTGACAGCAGCCCCACCAACATGATTTTGCATTATGACACTCCAGTGACTTCTCTGACACAATACCAGTCTAGGAGCAAGAATTTAAAAAAATGTGTTAGTGAAAACTTAGAGACTGTTTCAGCATTGCAGAGCTTGGTTTGTGAAAGGCAAGGAAATTGAAGGTTGTGAGGTCTGTTGTAACTAGGAAAATTGGGTTTCTATATCTGTGGAATGTCCAGGGTGGGACAAAGAACTCTTGTCTGTTGGAGTAGGTGTGAACGTTTCAACTGACCACCTTGATTAGCATTTGATGGTCTGGCAGTTTTTTGGCATGGCTTGTTAGTGCCTGGGGAAATCTTTTGATGAGAGGTGATTAGCTGTCCCTGATTGTTGCCTCTCTGGAGTTTCCCTGTGTCTGGGTGTTGTTTTGCTTGTAATTCTCCAACAGACAAGAGTTCTTTGACCCACCCTGGACATTATTTCACAGATATATAAACCCAATTTTCCTAGTTCCAACGCGCCTCACAACCTCTGAGGATGCTTGCCTTAGATGCAGGCAAAACGTCAGGAGAGAATGCCTCTAGAACATGGCCATATAGCCTGAAAAAACCTACAACAAGCCAGGGATACATTATTTCTATGCCAACAGGTCTTTCAGCACTTGAATGCGACTTGGCTCTTGCAGACTTGCTTATCTTCACCTTTCCCTCCTCCTATTTACCTCTGCCTGCTGCTAGCACTGGAAGTTTTAGTGAGGAACTGTTGAACAGTGATCACTTGGCTTCATAAGTTGTCATACTCTCTGTCATGAGGTTTAAGTCATATGCCTGTCAGTAGAAGAAAAGTGGAGGTTGCCGGGTGAGGAAGAAACACATCGTCCTCCCCAGAGATAGTTTTGCCAATTTCTTCCTCTGAAATATAACTTTGAACACTTGGGGTTTGTTGACAGTCTCCTACCCACATGCTAACCAGGGCTGACCCCGCTTCGCTTCCAAGATCAGATGTCTTTAAGAACTCCCTCCACAGAGATCTAAGACAAGCTCCGTCACTACCTTCCAAAAGGACCTGAAGACCTGGTGGTTCCAGCAGGCTTTTGATAATGATTAGTCCTAGGTCCTACGCTGACCAACAGTTAGGTCTCTGCTCTGCACTCTGCCCACGTCCCTGGCCCTCTGCTTCCTCATTGCCCTTGACTTGGCCTAGCTCTATTACAGCTATTTGGCAGGCCCTAGAAAAGAATAGCCCCAGGTATTACCCTGACCATTGGTTAAGGCTTTGTTCTGCACTTTACCCACTTGCCCGTCCCTTTGTTTCCCATTGGTCTAGCCATCTCATATCTGTGCCTCAGGCCTTAGAAATAAATAGCTCCAGGTCCCACCCTGACCATCATGCAGGATTGTGCTTGCACTTTATTCACCTCGTTATATTAGCCCAGCCCTCCCATAGTTATCGAGGTCCACTCTCAAATCTTGGCCATAGGAAACTGAACTTGCTTGATGGAATTAACACTAAAGTGTTTTTTAATTTTAAATATGTATGACTGTTTTATAGTATTATCTTTTTGTTTATAATGATTACTTGTATATTTCAATGTCTGTAATTGCAATGTTTGACCTATGCCGGAAACTGCCCTGAGTCCCTTTGGGGAGATAGAGCGGTATTCAAATAAAAGTTTATTATTTTATTACTATTAGCCTATACTTTTATTACCACATGCCACCCCAAAGGTACCTTTTGAAGTTTGTTGGCTTGAAACTTACTGGCTTCAAGCAGAGATACAGAAAATTGATGCAATTTGCAAGGCAAGGATTTGTTGCTACCACTTGTAGAGTCTAGGATTTTTTACATTTTGACTTAGCTATTTCCTTCTAGTCATTGTGGTATCAGGACAATGATACCACATTGTCCATTGTCTCTGCTTTGCATCCTCTGTACTTAGAAACAAGTGTATGTGTGCATATATATGCCTGCAAAGTTGCCTGTCAGCATATAGTGACATACTCGGTGGAGGTTTTGCCAGTTCCATCCTCTAAAATATAGCCTGTAGCACTTGGTATCAATTGGTGGTCTTCCATCCAAATACTAACCAGAGCTGACCTTACTTCACTTTCAAGATCAGAAGCAGATGCCTTTACCCCTTTTCCCCTTACTATTGCTTAGTTTTTATTTAGGATTTTTTTTAAAAAAAAAATTAAACTCTGTTCTGGAAGATTTTCTTAGTTGGTATTATGTCACTTCCAGAAAATATGTTAAGTGGTAGATGAATGGTTTTCAAGCTATGCATAACTTGATATCATAATAGACTTAAAATGTGGCTGAGACTAGACAATTGTAGTAATTTGTGTTGGAATGGCAGACATTGTTTCCTTGGGTTTTTCCCCACTTAAGAAGGTAATTTAATAAAATTGAAGTCGGTCTGTTCTGCAGCCTGACACAAGAAGTTGTTTAGCATTTTTAGTGGCTATACTGTTTTTTTCTGTGATGTCGATTTGACAATTCCTGGAGAGCCCACCCATCAAAACTAAACACTCAGTAACTTGCTTCAGTGTCTCTGGAAGACTATTAGTCTTCCATAAAGTTGGTTCTTTGAAGTGAAAATGTTATTGTTTGATTCTTTTACTAAGTTAAAAATGGCTTTGGGGAGTATTATGTGAGAGTGGGTGTGTATGCATGTATGTATGTGTGCACGTTAGTTGTTGTTCCGTTGGTAGGTATGGGAACTTTAGTTGTCTAAGGATGGAAATGTGTATGAGGCATTACTTCCTGCTGCTAATTTCTAGAAACATTTACATGGGAGAAATGAAGGTGTGCAGGTCGAGCTAAGCCCTCCTCTGCTCAGTGAATCTAATCTGCAAATGCTGCTCTCACCTTGCCCCTTGCAGGCATTTTATATTTTTGCCAATTTTCTCTTCAGCCAGACTCTGGAAACAAACCTGCCTGGATGGGGGTATGCCTTTGTAGAGCGAGATTTGTGCCATAATTGTGTTTATTGGCTGGTGAACTATATAGATCACAGTGGAATGGAACAAAGTGAGTGGATTTACAGTGAGGCTCACTGGTTTCAGAAATATTCTTGCTTCTCTCTAGGTGTTATTATGGACTGTAGTTTATTGGATTCGTGTGGAAGGGGTTCTTTTCATAAATTGTATTTGCCCCCGAGTGAAACTATATTTTCTTTTACTTCTAGTCTTGACCATAGCTATCTATTTAGCATCTCTATTACTATTAGATGAGTCTTCGTTTCAGAATAGCTTGACATTTGAAAATTGCGTGTACGGCAAAATGGATCTGTCTGCTTATTAACTGGCATTTCCTGTAAAAGGCACCTTACACCTGTTAGGTATGATTAGTTGCGGCTGTCAATTTGTTTGAGCAAAGTTAAATTTTCGGGTGATGCTGCAGCCTGGTTACAAAAAGTGGCATAACCTGTTGGTGACTCTCCTGTCGCAGCTCAGTTTAATAGTACTTAGAGGACCCTGAAGGTTCATAGCCGATGCTATGTTGAAGATCATGGTTTGAGCCCAAACTCCAAATTCCTCCAGAAAAGCAAAAGTTCTTTCTGCTTCTTTTCTCCTTCTCTGTTTCTCTTTCGCAGAAGGTCTGGAAGCCAAGTGAAGCATCTTTTCCATTGTTTTCTTCTCCCTGCAGCAAAAACTATCTCACAAGCTAATTTTGTCCAAATTGACTTCAACCACTAGTTGACATTTGGGCCCATGTTTGCTGAGGGTGAACATTTATTATATGGTTTTGAAATCCAGAGTTTGTTGCTTGTATAAATGTATTTCTAAGAGCATCTTCCTCTTTCTATTTGGATAGGCAACAAATACACAAATTGGAAATCCTCCTTCAATCAAATGACTTTGGTAAGTTTAATAATTTGTTTGCAGAAGTGGTTCCAACAGTTTTTTTAAAAGTTTCATTATAAATTCTGTTGGAGATTGTTCTGTCCCCATTTCAGAACCTGAAGGGGATAATAATAATAATAATAATAATAATAATAATAATAATCAGAATTGAAGAGAAACAACTGGAAAAGCTGACATGATATGAGGATTTAAAGATGGAACTGCAAAGACTCTGGCACAAGCCAGTAAAGGTGGTCCCAGTGGTGATCGGCACACTGGGTGCAGTGCCTAAAGATCTTGGCCTGCACTTAAACACAATTGGCACTGGCAAAATTACCATCTGCCTGCTGCAAAAGGCCACCTTACTGGGATCTGCATGCATTATTCAGCGATACATCACACAGTCCTAGACACTTGGGAAGTGTCCGAGGTGTGATCCAATACAACAGCTGGCAGAGAGATCTTGACTGCTGTGGACTCCTCTTGTTGTGTTTCAAATAATAATAATAATAATAATAATAATAATATAGCATATGTGGGCTGTGTCTGCACTATGCTACACCATAGGCATAATTCACTGGGCATAAATTGAGCGCTGCATCGAAGAAGTGACATAGACAGACTACTCTAGCAAGGTCTGCTCCAAGTCAAGCAGTCAGTAGAGGAAGAGATAAGAGGCCAGAAAGAATACATTTAAGAAAGCCAAGAACCAGCATTGAAAGAAGTCCATAAGGCTGAAATGCTGATAGCCAAAAAATCAAAAGGAGAGTACAGAGCCCAACAGTTTGCAACACGAAAAGAGCAGTGGCCAAGCAAGCCACTCCATGAGCAGTATTTTAAGAACATTGAAGGGAAGGGCAACAACAAGAAAACATGGGAGTGACTTAGGAGAGGAACCCTACAAAGGGAAACTGAAGGCCTGGTTTTTCTGCTTAAGAACAAGCTTTACAAACAAATACAATAAAAACAAGAACTGAAAAGTCCTACAATGACCCAAAGTGTTGTTTATGCAAAGAGAATGATGAGACAGTAGAATACCTCATTTGCAGTTGCAAGAAAATAGCCCAGACTAACTATATTGAACGTCACAACAGATTAGCAGCAATGGTGCACCAGAACCTTTGCAAGAAGTATGGCCTACCCTGCAGTAAAGCCTGGTATGAGCACAAGCCGGAAAAGACCACTGAAAACAAAGAAGCCAAAACACTCTGGGATTTTAAAATCTAAACAGATAAATACCTGCCGTATAACACACCAGATATGAAAGTTGTGGGAAAGAAACATTTTTTTATTATAGACATTGCAGTACCAGGATGCAGGAGAGTAGAGGACAATGAACTGAAAAAGATCAGGGCAAAAGAACAACAGTGATACAAATAGTGGTTGGTGCACTTGGAGGCATTCCTAGAAACCTCGGAAAACACTGGAAAAGCCTTAATTTGGGCAGAATACAAATGCTGCAGAAGGCAGCACTTCTTGGAACTGCACATATTCTGCGAAAATACTTCTAATATTCTAGGCCTTTGGGAAGAGCATGATATTCAGAGACTAATCCCAGACACTTGTTAACTTCCCGCCAAGGCTGGACCTATTGATCTACTCACATGTTTTCGAACTGCTAGGTTGGCAGAAGCTGGGCCTAACAGCAGGAGCCCAACCTGGTTCCCAGATTCGAACTGCCAACCTTTTGCTCAGCAAGTTCAGCAGCTTAGCGGTTTAACCCATTGTGCTACCAGGGGGCCCCTGATGACCCAATAAGAGCCATTGATCATATTTTTACAAGCAAGCAAAGAAGTGCTAATTGTGTCAAATTAATTCTAATTGATATTTCCTTTGTTTTATGTGTGTTTGTACTTGGATTGTTTCCCCTTTGAATCAGGGAAGCTTAGGTAGCATCCAAACATACATCATATGAAGAATAACATCTTTAATTTCTGTCTTATTGCCAGGTCAGGCTGCCCAACTTCACTGGGAGGCCCATGATGTCAGACAACAGTGTACCGAATTTCTACAGTACGTGAAAATGTTCCTCTTCAGGTGAGCTGTCAGAAACAGTTCTTCTTTCAATTCCCCGTTTATTTAGTGTTGTTTATGATGCAATGTGTATTAATGCATTTTGTTCAGGTATCTGGAAACGCATGAAATGAAAGAGGATGAGTTGCTCCATCCATATGAGAAACAAGAGACACAGCTGCCTTCCTTGCTGGTTGAAGAACTCCATTCTTTGACACTACATATTGGACATTTACATGAACTTCCTAGTTGTGTTTTGGGAGGATTCACCATTTTGCTTCAAGCTAAGGTTTTAATGATTATTTCTTGGTTTATTTTAACATGTATAAACAGTAAAAAAAAAATGGGGTGGGGGAGAGTGCATGACATAAAACTTGATTGGGCAACCAAATTGGATGAGGAAACCAATTTTCTAACTATGCATCCCACATCAGAAGTGTCCAGAAATCTATTTCTTATTTTAGAATGGATTGTTGTCATTTTAAACAGATTAGAAAACTGCTGCAACCTATATAAAAGGTAAATGGTTTCTTCTTCCATTGGTTCTTTCTCACTATGCTGTTATAATACTATACTGTGAGCCTTTGGTATCCACTGTTTTTTTTTTTCCAATTCTCTCCAAAATCCATGGATGCTGAAGTCACATTATATAGAATTGCACAGTAAAATGATGTCCTTTATATAATATGTCAAAATCCATGTTTACTTTTTTGATATTTTTTAAATCTTCAAGCTGCAGATGGTTGAATCCATGGATATGGATGAGCAACTGCATCCTAGGCTGCATCCTAAGAAATTCTAGAGTGTGTCATTTGGTGAGGAACTCTCTGGCTGAGAATCTAAATACCTCTCCTAAAACTGCAAATTCCAGGATACTGTGGGGTGCAGATATGGTAGCAGAAATTGAATTTTAGTATTATAATGGTGTAGTGTGAAAGGGCCCAAGGAGAGGCAGTTCACACATCCTGGAGGGGCTGAGACTAGCATTGTACTCCAGGTGTAAGCTATAGCTTTATGGCTCAAACAGGAGCCCCCGGGGGCGCAATGGGTTAAACCCTTGTGCCAGCAGGACTGCTGTCTAAAAGATCAGCAGTTCAAATCTGGGGAGCGGTGTGAGCTCCAGGCTGTCAGATCTAGTTTCTCATGCAGGGACATGAGGGATGGTAAAACATTTTAGGTGTCCTCTGGGCAATGTCCCTGTAGACAGCCAATTGTCTCACATCAGAAGTGACTTGTGGGTTCTCAAGTCACTCCTGACATAAAAAATGGCTGAAACATATGAGGAAGTTTTCATCTGTCATGTCAGCCAAGAAGAAATCTGGTGGGTCTCCTACCAGTACACTGTTAGAGTGATGGGACCTTATTTAAGAGATTGAGTCACTCAGTTCCTTCTCCTAGATCAGTAAATTACCAGTGGAGTTAATGCAGTATGTAACCACTCTGATCCATGACAGGGTCAAGGAAATACTTTCTCTCCAAGGCTGGTGCTAGGCAGACTACATTTCCCAATGTCCTCCAGTTATCTCTATTCGGCAAGATAACTGATCTCCTATGAGTGCATGGGGAATTCCCACAGTTATCTCCAGTAATTCTTTCACATCTATCCTTTGGCAGGCAAGGGTTTGACTGGGGATGAAATCTGTTGAGTCTTGATGCTTTTTTAATGAATTATACTAAAAGAAGCAAAAAGTTTACAGTGTCCTTATCACTCCTTTCAATTCTAGAAAGAATACTAGCTTTCAAATATTACTGTTTATATACATGAGAACAATTGTTCTTGGTATTTTCTTCCCCCTTTTATGTAGTTATTTCCACCTTCGTGGCATTTGCTGCATCTTCACCTGGACATCCATTGGTCAGTGCTGGAAATTCTTCATATTCTTGCTGAAAAGATGCCAAGTAGGTCTGCTTCTTGTCTGTTCTGCAGTATTTGAGTGTTGAGTTTTTTGTGGGAAGGATAAAACCTTTTCCAATCTATGTGCATGTGTAAATAATTACTAAAACAGTAGCCTGGTGGAAACATCAATCTTTCGTACTTTCCAAAGCAATACACTTTAAATTATAGATTGCAGTGTATTCATTCTCTAGAATCTTCAAGTTGTCTCAGATGTTTTTTGTCAGTTGAATGATGCTTCAGTTTTGATCACTTCCTGTGAGACATTTTTAGGTTTTTTATTCCTGGCACAGTCACGTTCTAATCCACAAGTTGTATCCTAAGAGTTTTTGGTCTTTGTTTGTTTGGGTTTTTAGCTTGCCTCCTTCCCTAAAAGCATTAAGATTAGTTTGAGAGGGGTTATTGGGGACTAGCCTGCCAACATACTACTTTCTTGCTGCTTCTGCGAGACTGGAGTGGTTACTGGCTGCTTAGTCACCCAACAACAGGAAGATTTTGGAGACTTGACTGCCAGTGGCATGGGGCAACACAGGTGTAAAAACCGAGTCTGTAGCTGAGAACGAGGAAACAGAGTGTAAAAAGGGTGGGCGTTGAATCCATTAAATTCTCAGAAGACTGCCACAGAAGTATGTAAGGGCAGAAGCATAAAAAAGAGACAGTTACCCACCCAAGAGGGTGTGTTGAAGGTAAAGGAGGAGCGAGGGGGGGGGTCAAAGAAGGGCTCTGGAGGGCCACAGGCTGCGCATGCCTGCTCTAGATGCTGTGTCCTGCAACCTGAGCTGTTATGAGTCATTCTGTTGGCCCAACTCTGCACAGACTCATCGTTTTTCTTAGGCTGAACCATGTTGGTACTGGATATTGGGTGAGCTTGGTCCTGCTCAGTCTTATCTTCCTTCATGTGGCCAGTCATGCTGCAACCCAAAGACGGCTAATTCTGAGGTCTTGGAAGGCTTATCAGTAAGATCTTCCCAGATACACCCTTCTCTAATTGCCGCCACTGTCACAAATACAGTTGGGGGCAATAATGGGGGAGGGCCTTCTTGGTAGCGGCCCTGGTCCTTTGGAACTCTCTCCCCATTGAGATTTAAACTGCCTTCGTTGAGCTGTATAGGGATTGTGAAGTATAACTCTTGTTTGTGCTTGTTTTTTAAGCCATTGACGTAGAGGACTATGAAATCCTCCTGTCTATGAAAGGTGTCACAGTTAATAAGAAATATACTTTTAAGTTAAAGAGTAAGGAGCAAATCTAGGAAGATGAGCCAATTTGTGAAAAACAATTGTATGAAGTGGGGCAGGTAACGTTTGTAGCCCTCTTCCACATAGATGACACATTTTAGTTCCCAGAGTTGTCATTTATTGCAGAATCAACATAGAATTAGACCTTCATTGTAGGCATTCTACAGTATTGTCACCTGGACAGTTATGAGTAGGGTCCCTAAATTCCAGACATGTCATATAATGTTTTTTTCCCCTTGTAAGGAAAGAAAAATAGGCTGGGACTGAAAAATCCCCTATATTTATATGTAGGCACACATTTTTGTCCTTAGTCAAACTATTGGGATAAAATATCCAAGACTCTACTTCTTCTGCAGAGAAGATGGCATAAATGCTCATAAGAAACCACTCCTCATCTTACCAAAGCACAGAAAAACTGAAAGACAAATGAAACATGAAATCCCAACACTATCAAAGCAAGCTATTGTTGCCTAAGGTAATGTCTGTGTGAAAGAAAAGGATCCTATGGCCGTGGCCGTCCAAAGAGCAGAAGACCTAGAGGTAGAAGAGCAACGAGTTCATTTTTATGTGAACATGACAAAGGAAGATCAAGTGGAAATGCCAATCCCGTGACATGCAGAGATAGATGGACCTGATATTGTCTACCTCAAGTGATCCAGGGCCGAAGAAAGACCAAGTCAAACAACACGAGAACAAATTTTCACTCAATCCAGGAAAGGAACAGAAAAGTACAGAGTATATTCAGGGCAAGGGATGAGAAGGAATCTAGTAATATTTGGATTTTGAAAGTCTGCATTGAGCTGAAGGCACACAGTAACCATGATACAGGCAGTTCCCAGGTTACAAAACATCCGATTTACAAACTGCTCATTTTCATCACCTTGATGAATGGTCTTCATTAAGAATGGACTGGGGAAGTGTATCCCTGTTATTTGGGGTGGGGGGCTTTCGTTGATTTTCAATACCATCAACCATGGTATCATGGCCACCCTTCTTGTATTGGATAGCTCATGAAACTCCAAATCCCACAATTTCATAATATGGCAGATAGTGATGAAGTGTGAATGAGACCGGGTTCTATGTGGAGTAACCTTTGTAAATGTTCAGAAATCACTGTAGTTAGTCCAAAAAGTTGCAATTAGACTTTTGGCTGGGGCTTACTATAAAAGTGAGTCCCATCATGTCGTCCTCCAGGTGTTTGGGACTTCAGCTCCCATCCAGCTTGGTCAGCTGTTAAGAATTCTGGGAGCTGAATTCCAGAACACTTGGAGGTCCAAAGATTGAGACCAAGCAGATTATGTGAAGCATGCAGGCTCCCTGATACAACAATGTCTGTTTTTGGGCACAGTTTGAAATACTGGTTATGATAAATGAAGATTCAATCAAGCTTATCTGACGCATCATTTTCTCCCTTATGGACCTGCAGAGATTTTCAGATCTTCCGAGGAAGTACTACTCTTTGTCGCGTCATTTTCCCAAAGACATCTGTTGGGAATCCAGGAGAAACCCTTTTCAGTGTCTGTTACAAGGCTCTGGGCCTCCCTTTCTAGCCCGAGACCCTCCTTGCTTTCATTCAGCCTTTTTCATTTTTGTTTTGACAGTCCTTAGGGACCTGACTGTTAATGAAAAAGATCTTTTAATAATTACTATTAAAAGTCCTTATTGTTATTACGAGCTCTTTTCTCATTGTGCTAGTCAGTCTTCTTTATTTTAAAATAAGCCCCTTGTTAAAAAATTAATTAACTTTCTTGCTATTTAGTTGCAGATCTAGGCACATTTCTCAATGACTTCGTGGGGCTTATTGACAGCTTTTTCTTCTCTCTCTCTCTCTCTGTATATATGTTCATTCATTGATAATTTAATTTTATTGATGACACATTTTAATTGTATTTGTTTTAATTTTTGTCATCCTCCTTGAGTTCTAGTAATGCAAAAGGCAAGGTAAAATAAAATAAATGATACTGCTAATAATTCTATAAAAGATTTCTTATTCCTATATGACCAGTAAAAAGTAATCTAATTCATTCCAGTTCTTCTGTCATCTTTATAGTCTTAAGTCTGTATGTACAAAAACATTTTGATCAGTTAATAACAGGATCTATTCATCTATTACCTGTCTAGCAAATTGAAAACAAAAAAACTACTCAATTTATCCTTCTCTTTTCAAAGCAAAACTCCACTTTTAAAACAATTAAAAGGTCAATGCATCTGTTCACAATACACCTTAAACCAATTAACACATGTTTTTGTCCTATTGATTTCAATGGAAATTCTATCAGATTCCTTTGTGTAAGCATTTTTATCCAATTCATTTCAGCGAAATGTCCTTGCAAACTCACCAGTTTATTTAGTATTCCTTCACAAGACTTAATTTGATTTTTGAATAAAGATGGAAGCTAGTATTATCGTTGAACTTACAGTCATACCACCAGCACACACGTAGAATTCGTGGACACATATGAAACCAAATCCCAGCAAACACTGAGGCCCTACAGTACCTAGGATTGCCACTGAATAAGCAAAACAGCAGAATGAAATAGCGCTCTGCAACAGTGTCTAATCTTTAATCCCTTATTACGCACCTACTTCGACTTTTCTTTTTAAAAGCAAATTCTGCAATAAGTGTTTATAGAATCATAGAGTTGGAAGAGGCCTCGTGGGCCATCCAGCCCAACCCCTTGCCAAGAAATAGGAAAATCACATTCAAAGCACCTCCGACAGATGGCCATCCAGCCTCTGTTTAAAAGCCTCCAAAGAAGGAGCCTCCACCACACTCAGAGGCAAAGAGTTTCGCTGCTGAACAGCTCTCACAGTTAGGAAGTTCTTCTTAATGCTCAGGTGGAATCTTCTTTCCTGTAGTTTGAAACCATTTCCCAATTCTAGTCTCCAGGGCAGCAAAAAACAAGCTTGCTCCCTCCTCCCTATGACTTCCCCTCACATATTTATACATGGCCCTCATCATACCTCCTCTAAGCCTTCTCTTATGAAGTGTAAACATGCCCAGTTTTTGAAGCAGCTCCTCATAGGGCTTGTTCTCCAGGACCTTGATCATTTTAGTTGCCCTCCTCTGGACACATTCTAGCTTGTCGACATCTCCCTTAAATTGTGGTGCCCAGAATTGGACACAGTATTCTAAGTGTGGTCTAGCCAAGGTTGAATAGAGAGATAGCATGACTTCCCTGGATCTAGACGCTATACTCCTATGTATGCAGGCCAAAATCCCATTGGCTTTTTAAGCTGCCTCATCACATTGTTGGCTCATGTTCAACTTATTCATGAGGACTCCAAGATCTTTTTCATACGTACTACTGTCAAGCCAGGCATCCCCCATTCTGTATCTGTTTTGCTGTATAGGTTGCTTTTCCTTTGAGATTCTCTTGTTTGGGATCCTTCAAGAACCAATCAGTATTCAGTGCCTAATAAGTTGTTTAATTATTTTATTTATTTACAATATTTATACTCTGCCCTTCTCACCACGCAGGGGACTCAGGGCGGATTACAATGTACACATATATGGAAAACATTCAATGCCAAAGACACACCACAGTTATAGACTACAGTCAGAGGCTATTTAACTTTTCAGGCCACCAGGGGAGTTGTCGCTTTCATCGTCCATGTGCGACACTGATGAAGTACTTCCGCAATCATCGCATGCTTTGCTGGAGTCTTTTTTTTATGGCCTCGTAAATTAGTTAAATTAGCCTCCCCACACATAGGTGGTACCTAATTTTCCTACTTGACAGATGCAACTGTCTTTCGGGTTGCAAAGGTCGGCAACAAGCTACACAATTGGTCAGAAGCTCACTCCGACCCGGGCTGGCTTCGAACTCATGACCTTTTGGTCAGAAGTGATCTTAATGCAGCTGACACTGAGCCAGCTGCGCCACAGTTTCCTGCCCTAACCCTCCCCTAATAACATTTCTATACTTTCCTATATCTGGCAGTAAACCAAGGACTGCTAACACCTTCTGCCTGTGCTTGGATGATACCATTTTGACATCGATGATAAAGGAAATATTGTTTGGTTTAGTATAAACAACTAAGTAAATTTGAGGCAGCACACCTCTTAGGTCGAAATTTCAAGATTGACAATTGGAGTAATGGGGACCATTTTTATTGCCTCCAGAACATGGCCATATAGCTCGGAAAAACCTACAACAACCATTTTTATTGCTTTTGACTGTATTACTGAGCTACGCAAGCCAATTATTCTCTGCTTTTTCATGTAAAAGTAACAAATCTGTTTGTTTCTTTTTACTAATTCTGTCCTGTTTCTAGTTTTAGATAATGAAACTTGTTTATTGCTGTGTTGATAATCTCAATTTCTCATATTGCGATTTTCACTTTATCCCCATTTTCTTAGCTAGAAACAATTGAAACATGTTTTAATCCTGTAGCAGGCATAGTTTCTAACACTGGATCTGTATTTTAGAGTAGGACTTTATTACAACAGAATATATTTTACAACATAATTTAATCACTTGTTCTTCATTTTATAACTTGACCACAGAGTAATTTTATGTGCTGTTTTAAATTACATATCTTATGGCCTTAAATTATAAGTACAGAACATTGCATATAATTGGATTTTCCTCAAAGTGTCAAGCCCCACCCTGGGTATTCAGATGGCCTGAAGATGGAAGCAGGGGTTTGTTTTTTTAAAATATAAAGGCTAGTTTAGCAAAGACATGGCAGTTGTGTAGCTCCTGGGCCTCATTTGGTTTTCTTCGTGATTATTTTTGGCTGTACAGCCCATAGTACCACATGGGTCCAAGAGCAGAAAGGTTTGAAGTCTGAAAAGACTATTAAAGGCTCTAATTCAGGGCTCCACATCCAACAAGTTGGCGCTTCCCTTGTTCAGTTCCCCTCCAACATCCATTGCCATTTTACTGAGGCCCTTCGTTTTGAATCAGCACCTGCTGAGACATAAAAGATCCTCCTTATTCCACTAACTTAACAAATTCTCAGAGCAGTATGATGAGATAGTGAAGAGGTCGCTGGGACATCCTTTCATTGTGTGGATGGGTGACAAGGGTAGGTGAGTGAGAGAGTGGAGAAGGAACCAGTGGGTTAGAAAGAAAGTTAAAAAGCAGTATTGACCAAGCAAAAGGCAGCTCTTCCTTCACTCCAGTCTGTTAGAGGCATTGAAGAACAAAATGAAATAACTTACAATAGTAATACACTTTATTTATATTACTCCCATCTCCCCTAGGGGACTGAGAGTGGATTACAGCATTTACATACATACATAGGCAAACATTCAATGCCTTTACACTCATATACAATGAGACCCACAAACAAAGGCAGAGCCTTCTCCTTTTATTTCCGGCTTCTGGAGGTGGTGCTCATCTCTGGCTCTGGAGAGATGTTTTTTCTCCATTTTCAATATGAGGGGCCTGTGTTGTCACCTCCTGGTTGTGTGGCCGGCAAGATTTCTGGGAGCATCTCTTTGCCTTTTCCCACCGACGCAGTACCTATTTCATAGAATCATAGAGTTGGAAGAGACCTCATGGGCCAGACAGTCCAACCCTCTACCAAGAAGCAGGAAAATCACATTCAAAATACCCCAGACAGATGGCTATCCATCTTCTGCTTAAAAGCCTCCAAAGAAAGAGCCTCCACCATACTCCGGAGCAGAGACTTCCACTACAAATGCAAATGTTCATCTACACATTTGCATGTTTTTGAACTACTAGGTTGGCAGGAACTAGGACTGACAGATGGGAGCTCACCTCATCTTGCAGATTTGAACTGCCGACCTTCAGGCCAGCAGTTGAGCAGCACAAGGGTTTAACCCATTGCGCCACTGTGGCTCTTATAAGTAAAACCAAGGGGAGAATATCTTCTTATTCATTGTTCAGATGATTCATTATCTAAGGAGATTCTGCTCTGCATGCTAAGGTAGACCAATGAGGTGGAGACATGTGTAATATGTCTGTGACCCCAGTAACTTACCTGGGAAAGTCTCAAGAAACTGACCATAATGTAGAGTTTCCCCCATTTTAGTTGTGAGCAAACTAAGATCCCCTTTTAAACGTTACCTGAACAACAGTTCCTGCTTGGGAGGGATCTGGGAGATTTAGGAGTCATTGTCCAAATGAATAATTTTTCCAAACTCTTGGCAGGACCTGTTGGACCACTTTGGGAGCAAAAGGCAACGAGCACTTACTAAGCTTTCTTTTCCAACAAAAATATAGTGCTATTAAACTAGAAGTGAAATTGGGGCAAATATTGTTTTCTGTTGGCTTTTCATTCTGCCAAATTGAACGTGCCTGATCTGGTACCTGCATAAAGTCAGTATTAAATAGTGAACTTCCCCCTTTTGTTTTTATTTCCTAGGGAAAACTGTGTACGCTCACAGGTTCATCAATTTAACGGGTGAAAATTTAACCAATGTCAGTTTATTTGAAGAACATTGTGGAAACCTCTTGCATGATCTGATAAGTTTATCAGCAAACAGATACACAAAGGTACTGTACTGCTTTTATTTATTATTACAGTAGTGTTCTAATTCTCATAATTGTATGATGGAATGTGTTGATGTACTGTTCCTATCTTTTCCAGAATTGAATAAAATGTATTTTCCACTTGAATTTAACTTTCCATTGACCTCTTATATCTTGCCTATTTTTGACTAGATCTTGGAAATACCTTTGGTTAGGAAATATGTTTTCTGTTTATTCACCTCTGCCTTCAATTTGAAAGAGATAATAATTTAAAGGGTTTTTTTAGTTATTGTTTTTTACTCTTTTAATTCTGATTGGAACAGGCACATTGACTCCATTAATCCATGTTGATTTGCATTCATCCATTGATTTAACAGGTCTAGGTGGGCCTGATCACCAGGGCTATGTAAATGATCAAGTTAGAGCATTAAGATCGGCTGAGGAGGTTCTGCTCTCGGTCCCACCGCCTTCTCAGGTGCAACTGGTGAGGACGAGAGAAAGGACCTTCTCGGTGGTGGTGCCTCGGCTGCCTCCTCGGCAAGATCAAATCGGCCCCTTCCCTCCTGACATTCAGGAAATTACTCAAAACATGGCTTTTAAAGCAAACATTTGGAGAGTGAGATGAAGTAGCCAAGATAATTTTCGGATTGATGCAATATCCAATAGGCCTGGGTAACAACGCAAAAATTTGGTTTTGTAATCGTTTTGTAATTGGGGTGTTTTTTTGTTTCGTTATTTAAAATAATTACAAAACTTTCCCAAAAAAAGTTTTGGTATTTACAAAATTTTGTAAATATTAACGAATTTTTAGAATATTTTTTTATTTTTTAAGAATAATATTAAAAATAATATTAAAAATAATATTAAAAAATAATATTAAAAATAATATTAAAAATATTTTAAAATGGAAAACGAAACCGCACAGGCCTACTATACAGACATAGCGGGTTTGAGTCAGACCCAGCTAACACCTCCCAACAAAGGATTCCCCTGAGCAGGAAGGAGCCAGACTTTGAAGCTACAAGGCCATTTAATCCCAATCAAGCTGTCCAATGGCAACATTCACACTTGCCTCCAACAGACAAGAGTTCTTTCTCCCACCCTGGACCTTCTACAGCCAGGCTTTGAAGCTGCGAGGCCATTCAATGCTAATCAAGGTGGCCAATGGCAGCATTCACAATTGCCTCCAACAGACAAGGGTTCTTTCTCCCACCCTGGACGTTATTTCACAGGGATATAAACCCTACTTGCCTAGTTTCCAACAAACCTCTGAGGATGCCTGCTATAAGATATGAGAGAAACGTCAGGAGAGAATGCTCCTGAATCCTCCTCCACATGCGGCTGCATAGTGAGTGAAGTACTGTATAATAGCGCTGCATCAGGGGCGGCTGAAGCAACTTACGTGCCAAATCCCTGGCTGTGGGCTGCTTGGCTTGCTTGCTCGCTTCTCCAAGCGGGCGAAAGGAGAGGGAGAGAGAAAAACAGTGTGCTGCTGCCTGTCTCTTTAAGGAAGGAGCACATGGAGCCCTCGGCTGCCGGTTTGGCGGAGGGAGGGAGGCAGGCGCGCGCTTGGTTGCCCAGAGCAACCAAGCGCGCGCCTGCCTCCCTCCCTCCGCCAAACCGGCAGCCGAGGGCTCCATGTGCTCCTTCCTTAAAGAGACAGGCAGCAGCACACTGTTTTTCTCTCTCCCTCTCCTTTCGCCCGCTTGGAGAAGCGAGCAAGCAAGGCAAGCAGCCCACAGCCAGGGATTTGGCACGTAAGTTGCTTCAGCCGCCCCTGATGCAGCGCTATTATAATACAGTACTTCACTCACTATGCAGCCGCATGTGGAGGAGGAGGAGTGTTGGAAAACGGGGAGAGGGGAAAGAGGGCGGGGAGAGCAGCCCAGGCCGAGAAAGAGGGGAATGGCACCAGCACTCCAGCAGCCTCCATCCCATTAACGAAACGAGCGGAAGCTCGTTAAATTTATGGGGGCTGCCGGTTCAATATTTTTAAACCCTTCCGGGTTTGAAAATGTGTTTTGATATTGCTTCAAAAATGCAAAAATAACGAATTAATAACGAAATAACGAACTAAATTGCCCAGGCCTAATATCCAATGTTCTGTGTTATGTTGTTGTTTATGTTTTATAGTTTTGTTGTTGTTGTTGTTCGTTCAGTCGTCTCCGACTCTTCGTGACCTCATGGACCAGCCCACGCCAGAGCTCCCTGTCGGCCGTTACCACCCCCAGCTCCCTCAAGGTCAGTCCAGTCTCTTCAAGGATGCCATCCATCCATCTTGCCCTTGGTCGGCCCCTCTTCCTTTTGCCTTCCACTTTCCCCAGCATAATTGTCTTCTCTAGGCTTTGCTGTCTCCTCATGATGTGGCCAAAGTACTTCAACTTTGTCTCTAGTATCTTTCCCTCCAGTGAGCAGTCGGGCTTTATTTCCTGGAGGATGGACTGGTTGGATCTTCTCGCAGTCCAAGGCACTCTCAGCACTTTCCTCCAACACCACAGCTCAAAAGCATCGATCTTCCTTCACTCAGCCTTCCCTAAGGTCCAGCTCTCACATCCGTAGGTGACTACAGGGAATACCATGGCTTTGACTAGGCGGATCTTTGTTGTCAGTCTGATGTTTTATAGTTTACTGGTTTTAATTTATTATTTTATGCTATTTTAGATATTTGTTGTGTTTTATACTCTGTGAGGCATTGAATTTTGCCATTTGCCATTTGCTTTGTTGTGAACTGCTTTGAGTCCCCCCAGGGATGAAATGAAATGAAATAAATATAGCTCTGGAAAATGGGGGTTGGACTAGATGACCCATATGGTCTCTTCCAACTCTATTATTCTATGATTCTGTGAAAATTAATTTGAGTTATATGAAGTAGCCCTTCTGAATTTTCATGTTAGGACCTCATGTCCCATCATCCAAGAGCAAAGTGGGGAGAAAGTGATAGTGTAGTGTAGTGGAGGAGGGAGGAAATGCAGAAAAATTATACTGGAAAAGCAGCACAGATCCAAGATGCAATTCTAGATCTATATTCTCAAATATTTCTTCCCCCACCAAACAGTGGAGTAACTTAAGATAATATGATTATTTAAATGATTTTTCATTGAGGTGCAACTACCAGAGGGAAGGAGAAAGGGGAGAGAGATAGAAACTGGCCACATTACCTCTCCCTGTAAGAATATTCCTCTCTCAATGAAATTTTCCTTTAGTCTCCAAATCTTTCACATTGTAAGTCACAGAAAATTGTTTATTCCACAAGGTTTATATTTTCTGTGTTCCCATTCCCTTGTTAACTTTACATGCATTTTTTTCTTTGAGTGCCTAAGTTATATTTCTAAATGCTCAACTATATGTTAAGTTACTGCAAAGGTTGAGATTTGGGGATTGAAAGAAAATTTCATTCTGGGACCAATAGAACGTTATTTTATCTGTATTCTAGCAATCTAATCTCTTTCTTTAAAGTTTCCAACTTCGTTTCTCAGGCTTCCGTTTCATTCCCAGGCAGAAAACTGCAAAAATTATGTTAATAACTTTTAATAAATAGAGGAGATAACTCAATTGTGTAAAGAGTGTATCGTGCAACATCAAGCACTACATGATTAGATCTAATGCAACATTGTGTGAAAGTTGTGTGTTTTGAAAATGTTAAAATAAATGGGAGTGGTATCTAGTGACTGAATGTGGCTACAATACCACCTGCTGGTGGATCAAGGTAAAATCTATTTCATTAAAGATGGTAGGCTAACAACTCATGAAATAGAACCGTGTTTTAAAACATTTTGTTCTATTATGTGCTGTTCTGGAATTCTTTGTTAGAGGATATATTAAAAGGTGCTGTGGTCTGGTTAATTTGGATACTTTTCTATTTATTTAACTAACATCTGCGTGTTTTCATCTGAAATTTCATGAGTGAAATGTATATGAAGCCAGAGTAACACAAATGTTCTCATATGGAACAATTTTATATTGTCTGTTATGAGGCTTGAAATCCTCAAGTGTTGTTTTTAAATAGTTATTTCATATATTTTGAAAAAGAATTGAGGAGTTGACCTCGGCAAATCTTGATAAGGGACCTGTGGGACTTGGATCCGCACAAACTACATTTTGAGATCTTCTGAGCTGAACCAGGCTGGACAAATGGGCCATCCGGCTTTTCCTTGCAGATCTCTAATGAAGGAAAGCCACAATATCCCAAAGCTGTCTGCTCCTCTGATGAGTAGCATTGACTCCTGTGTTTAGCCAACATCTTTTTCTTTGTCATTTTCAGCCATTGGTTCTGGTTTTGTTTTGATTCTGTATGAACTCATAGCACTATAATTGGTTGGCTTTTTTGTATGACAGAGTGTCAGGTTCAATATGTATTCCTCATAGGATTCAGTTTCCACATCTATACTTTGTCAATATTAAGGATTCTCAAATGTTTTAGGCAGAGGGCCAGTTCACATTCCCTCAGACGGTTGGGGGGCCAGACTGTAGTTTGAAAAAACAAATTCGTAAGCACACTGCACATGCTTTATTTGTAGTGCAAAAGCAAAAAAAAAAAAACATGAAAGAACAATACAGTATTTAAAATGGAGAATAATTTTGACCAACATAAACTTCCCAGTATTTCAATAGGAAGTGTGGGTCTGCTTTTAGCTGGTGAGATAGTCAAGTTAAATAGGATTATTGTTGTTGTATGCCTTCAAGTCATTTCAGACATAGGGTAACATTCAGTCTAAAGTTAGGGTGGGGGCCGGATCAGGGGCTTTGAAGGGCTACATCTGGCCCACGGGCCTTTGTTTGGGGACCCCCGGTCTTCATCCTTCTTAAAATGAGACACAATGCTTCCAATGAGCCTAACAAAACCTGAAGTGAGCAGAGTTGCTTCTTCCCTTGATCTCGACATTATTCATGCAATGTAATACAGCATTGGGGTTTTTTTTAAGAGTTACTTTTCAATGCTGACTCATATCCAGTTTGTGATCAACAAAGATTCCCAAATTTTTATTATTATTATGCCAGAACAGCCACACCCTCTACTTATGCCATTGATTTTTTTAAAATGCTGAAATGCAGGAAACAAAGACACAGATATAGAATGGAGAAAACTTGGTTTGGTAACAGCATGCATGGAAGTGACTTGGAAATCTTAGTACACTGGATGGATGTCAGAAACATGGACAGTTTAAACTATTTATTACAAAGGAGTAAAGGAATAATGGAGACAGGAACAAACTGGACAAAATTTAAGGAATATTTAAAGATAAAAAACTAGGAGTAAAGAAACGAAGAATATATAGTAAGACTGGATCAGAACTCAATCTAAAAAAAAAATAATACTAGCTAAAATCAAGTTCAAATTCTAAGAGAAGAAGAGAGAAGACGGAAAGAAAGAAAAGGAAGAGGCCACCCTTGACGATTCCTGGAAGTCACACAGATGGAAAAAAATAACTTTCTTGAATCTTTCTTTTTAATCTTTACTTTATTTTCAACTCTGAATCTATCCTCTTTTACCTTACCTCATACCTTATCCGTCCCCTTTTGCCGAAACCCTCTCCCAATTGCCCTTTGCCTCCCCCCCTCACCTACAAACCATACCTCCCCCTCTACCTCGCTACCCCTTTATGCCTTTTTCCACTCTTTCTTTCCTTGTCTTATGTGTCTCTTTTTACTGATTTTGTAATATGAAAACGCTAATAAAGATATTTATTTTTTAAAAAAGGAAATCTTAGTACACTGGTTCTCATGCTATATGATGTGGGATTTGGCTTTTCTTTCACCCCACTCCCCATGTGCCATATTTGTGCTCACTGGTTACAACTTTTTCTTTTTCTTTTCCTGGCTGCCATTTTGAGTCTTTGTAGATCACAAGCTGCATGTGTGTAGTGCAATGTAGGGGCTTTTTTATTTTATTTTACTCCTGACAAAAGTCCAATATGTAACCTTGTTTCAATGGTTTCTAACAGAATTGATATTTCTTAATCTGTGTATGCATAAAATATTACTATATGATTCTTAAGTGAAGTCATTTATTTGCTACAGATAAGGCCCCCTGAAGCCCTGACCAGTCCCCACTATCCTTGCATCTGTGTGAAGGAGTTGTGGGTTCTACTTATTCATATGCTTGACCACAGAAATAAAGGATCTCACACCGAGGTAGGAGTGGTTGCCCAGTAGAAAAAACATTTCTTGCAAAAGTTTGTGTTTGAAACATTGGACACCATTATTATAGCTACCATGTACAATAAGCTTTGATCCATAACTATGCTAAGTGGAACTGTTGTTCTCCAAATAAGACAGTAGAAACATCTAGAAAAATAGTTATGAGAGTGATCAGAAATGAGAAATCTTCTCTTTCCTCACCTGTTTTGGTTTTAGATATTTTTTTTCTTTTTGTGTGTGTTTATGTACAGGCAGTTCCCAAGTTACAAACATGATAGGTTCTGAAGGTTTGTTCTTAAGCTGAATTTGTATGTAAATCAGAACAGGTACATTTTTAAGTGTAGCTCCAGCCATATACACACACATACATACATACATGTATATATTAGCTTTGGATAGCACAGGGAAAAGTTAACACCCCTATGGTGTTTGTTTTGCTATCTGTGCCCTTGTTCAATAGATTTCACCTTACGTTCTGTACCTGTGATAATTAGGTGAGAAAGCTTCAGTTGAGACACCTTTTCCCCATGATAACTGTTCCAGGAGTGAATTTCCCTTCCGAAGGGTGGATTTCTCTCACTTCCTGTTTCCTCATCCCCATTCTTAACTATGAGTTGTGTGTAAGTCAGACGTTTGTAACTCGGGCACAGCCTATAGATGTGATAGGCATATAAATCCATAAAGTGAAACATCCAAAGGTACATTCTGTTTTGTGAGTTTAAAAGTTTCTCTTTGGAAAAGTCCTTAGGTGATACATCTTATTTTCGGACACTACAAGTTGTAGAGTATTAGATAGCATAAGGTAGACATCTATCAGAGAAAAGTAGTGCAGGTGCTTGATAGCATAGGTGATTTGTCTCTGTGTGTCCTTGTATATACAATCTTTTTTTTAAAAAAAATACTTTTTTTCTGCAGTCTTTCTGGAGTTGGTTGAATAAAATCCTAAAAGGTGTATTTGAAAAAAACAATGGTACAGAAGAAATACCTTCTTTTGAACCTATTCCGTGCAATGATCCATTGAGTTTTAATTGGTGGATTATAACTCACCTGGCATCGCTCTACAACGTCGATCGAAATGGACGTGTAGATAAGGAGGTGGGTTCTTTCTTTTTCCTTCACAAGTTTTGCTGAATAACTGGTTTCCTGAATTAAACAAAGCTGAAGATTACCAAGGATTCAAATTTTTGAATTGGTTGCCTTTTGATTGTCCGGATGCTCTTCCTGTTGTCCAGAGCAGAGGTTCTCAACCTGTGGGTCCCCAGGTGTTTTGACCTACAACTCCCAGAAATACCAGCCAGTTTACCAGCTGTTAGGATTTCTTGGAGTTGAAGGCCAAAACATCTGGGGTTGAGAACAACTGGTCTAGATGGAACCAGGCACTTTGCCATTTCCAGGCTTGGGTATCTCCTTTGTGCCAATAAGCTTGGTTGGTTTCTATGAACAGTTCCTCTCTTGATACATGAAAATTACAACATAAGTTTATGACTGAATCTCAATCAAAAGCTGTCTTAATGTCAGAAAAAAGTACTTGGAACTATACCCATTGGCTATATTATTATGTCATGGATCTCTTTAGTTTAGATATGTCGGTTTCTTGCCTCTTAACTGTTATCGAGAACTATGTGTCTTCTTGTCAAACTGTGATCATGATATGGAAGAAATATATGCATATTTCTATGTCAGCTAGCAAAAATTCCCTTAGGTTATCTATGGTGTGTTTTAATTTCTGTCAGTTTGTCTTCCATTTTTGAAACCTACTGCTCTGCCTCTAAGGTTTGAACTGTTTCAAGAGGGCACTGATATTTTGTCAACGAGAAACTAGATTTGTTATCCTTAGTGTGGTGGTTTCAGGCTAACCAAAATGTATTGATCGCTTGATTCTGAAAGTTAAAAAAAAACTTTTTTAGGGTCCATATAGTGCTCAGAGTTTACCCATAGCATGATTGATCTATATGTAGAGAAGTGGATTTAATTGGAAAATTGACAGATTTCTTCCTCTGAAAGAAAATATTTAATCTTATTTCAAACTTATAAAGGAAACATACATCATATACGTCTTTCCTCAACTACAAAACAGCCTATGTTATCATATCCTTAAAGGCTACATTCATAAATGTTTAAAACGAAATAGAATAGAAATATTACCACTTTTGAACATTGCAGGGGTCAATTTTAACGCTGCTTTGGGCTATTGAAATACCGTCAGGATGACTTCAAGCTAAACATTCGTGCCTTTGAATTGTTTAAAATGACTACTTTGTGAGATATGCAAAGAGTGGTTTCCAGCTGAGCAGCTTAGCAGCTCAACAGGTGAGCCAGAAGAGGAAACTTTTTTGTGAACCGTTAAAAGGAAATGTGACTTATATGCTCAAAAGTTGTAGTGAGTAATTCAGTCATTTTTTAAAGACAAAAGAATGAAATATTGTCTTCTAAGCCACAGCTCCAGACTATGTGGATGTTCGTTTAGAAAACAGATATGTAGCAATTTACCTTAGGTAAAAATGCACAGACATACACTCATATAGACAGTGAAAGAACTGGCTATCAAATAGTTTTAAGAAATCTACATTTCAAAAGGCAATACTCCTTTAGCCTAAAATAGCAAACTGAGTTTGTCCTACTGTAGACTGGATAGTCTTTCCCGTTATGCGTTCAGTTTATTGTTTCACAATTGGTCAACAATGAACTTGTAAATTCATTTATTATGCATGGTTTGAGTAGATGGAACTTGTTTTGTTTTTCCTCTTCATTGGTCATGGATCATACTATGGCTTAAACCAAAGAACTCCCTTCCACTATCACAGTAAGACACACACTTCTTCCATCCCCCTGCATTGCTTGAAAATATGAGGGTGGGTCAAAAAGTGTTGCCTCCTGTATCATAAAAACGTTATGAACGAACATATAAAAGCAGAAGTTGCTACAGATCATAGCCTGAGCTATCCTCTACGCAAAACTACCATTCAACATAGTCACCATCAGTTTGTACACATTTGCACCATGGTTTAACCCAGGCATCAAAACCATGTGGGAAAGATTCAGCGTTTTGCTTCATGACCCATGATCTACAGGAAGAGAACAAACCCTCTTCATCCCTGTATTGCCAAGAGAACAACAGCAGATCAATACAATTTAATCTATTCATGTGTAGGGAGATTTTTTTTTAAAAAAAAACTGTTATTACCTACATTTTTCATAGCAGAGATTAGTCAGAAAAGTAAACGATGACCCAGAATTTGTAAGATTTGTAAACTCAGTGTGATTTTGCAAGAAGGCAGAAGGCTAACTTAATTTGCGAGCTGTGATGCATGTTGAATCCATTGAAGCAGGCTGTTCTTTATTGCTGTTATCTCTCTCTCTCTCTCTCTCTCTCTCTCTCTCTCTCTCTCTCTCCCCCCCCCCCCCCCCCCTGTTAATATGATTAGATGGATCAAACTGTGTTGTTCTGCTGTTGTTCCTTCCTGGTACTTTATAGATAGCACAACAAACTTCTGTGCTGGATTCTAGAACATGAAAATGAAAGATTGTATTGAAGGCTTTTAGGGCATTATTCTTTCTCAATTACAGGTAGCTTAGCTGTGTATATGTCTATTGAACACTCCACTCTAGCTTGTCTGAGCTGTAATAAACTGTGGTTATTTTCTATGAGGGTAAGAAATGTTTTGCCCATTAAGCTTAATGGAGTATTTTAAGCACTATTGGTAGGAAATAATGAAAGAGGTGGTAATCTTTCAGAAGTGGTAATCTTTCATAGTCTCAATTGGCTTACCTTATAAGAAGAGCCATGTTAGATTAATTAAAGGTTGTATATCCCAGCAGTCTCTTCTCACGGTGGCCAACCAAATATTTATGGGAAACTCGGAAGCAAGTGTTCCCATTCATATACCCAGCAACTGACAATCATGGGCTTACTGCCTCTGATACTTGCAACAGCAACATGTAGCTTTCATAATTAGTAGGTTTCGATAGCTTTATCTTCCATGTTGGTGTTCATTCGTTCAGTCACTTCCGACTCTTCATGACCTCATGAACCAGCCCACGCCAGAGCTCCCTGTCGGCCGTCACCACCCTCAGCTCCTTCAGAGTCAAGCCAGTCACTTCAAGGATGCCATCCATCCATCTTGCCCTTAGTCGGCCCCTCTTCATTTTTCCTTCCATTTTCCCCAGCATTACTGTCTTCTCTAAGCTTTCCTGTCTTCTCATGATGTGGCCAAAATACTTCATCTTGCCCTCTAATATCCTTCCCTCCAGTGAGCAGGCGGGCTTTATTTCCTGAAGTATGGACTGGTTGGATTTTCTCGCGGTCCAAGACACTCTCAGAACTTTCTTCCAATACCACACTTCAAAAGCATCTATCTTCCTTCACTCAGCCTTCCCTATGGTCCAGTTCTCACATCCATAAATATGTCTAACTTCCTATCCACATTAGCAGTTATCACTAAATTTTGTACTAGCTACTCCATAATTTAAGTATTCACTATTCAGAGAAGTACTGCTTTCATTCTATTCTCAGTCTTCCACCATTCAACTTGATGTTGCGGTGCCGAATTCTAGGATTATGAAAAGGAGAAACAATTCTCTTTGTCTGCGTTTTCTACACCCAATATAATTATATATGCTTTCTTCCACCCTTACTAGCATTTTTTCCTGAATAACATTGTGCCTAACTTTTTTTTTTTTATAAAAACTTCACATGGATTGTAATTTCATGGAGTTCAGTGGGATTTGGCTTTTAGTAGGTATTGGAGGATTGTGCTTTGGTATTAATTATATAATCATCTATTTTCTGCCTAGAAACCAATAGAATCCAACTGGCCTTATGTGGAAGGTTTATTGAAGCGGTCCATTAATAGTCAAGTAAGTACAGGATATGAAGAGTAACAAGACGATTCAGGCTAATTTGTGGGTTGGTAGAAAAGTGCTTTGTTCACCAATTTTTTTTCCTAAGCTTTGTTATTGTTGTTTTTAACTCAGCTGCATAAACAACTCATGATCTGTCTAAGGACACGTTGTAGTTCTCTTCATGTTAGTGGTCATCTCCTAAGTGGTTGTGTTTTGGAGATAAATTGTCAGATAAGGTGTGGTGGGAGATAATTGTCCTGGACGTGTTACTTGGCTCCTTTGACAAGATATATTCTGAGTAAGAGCAGGAAGCTTAGAAAATGTAAACTCTGCACTGAATCTGAGGGTATCAGGTTGAGAGACGTGATAGGGAAGATAGTCTATTGCATTGAAAATTCAGCTATATCCTCATCACAGCAGGAAGGTGACTTGCCTTGCTGAGCAATTTGTCTTACAGGCTTGAATCAAACTCTTACTGATAAGGTTGTAGCTTCTGAGCATTCATTTCATACCTTATCATTTTTCTTTCTACAGAGCTGTTAATGCAGTACTTTGTGGCCCAGAGGTCAGAACTGACCTCCTTTTTAAAAGTGCTTTTCAATACGGCAAACATATTAATATGTTTTCTGTAAATTTGTTCTAGGTTGCATGGTACTAATTGTAATTTATGTAGCATTGGCCATTACAAAATAATTTCTTTAATTTGTTAGTAATACAAGGGGATCTGCCTAAACAAGCAATAGGAGTATCGTGTTATTGTATTGGCTGATGTTACATAAATTAAAAACTGTTTAATACAACCTAAGAATGAATTTAAAGAAGATATATCAATGCAGAATATTTAAAACAGTTTTTAAAAGAAGATCAAGGATTTGGGGGAAAATATTAACTAAATCAATTGTTCTGGATCCCTAATCCCCTCCACAATGAATTTGACTGATGTGTCCTTTGTGAACAGAACTGTGGTCTAGTGGAGTGTTTCCCCCTGGAGAAAGAGTCGGGACAGCAATATTTTTTGGATTTCTCCTCCCATCCAATGTCTCATGCTCTTCTGGAAGGTTCCCCAAACTTCTGTAACAACATGGAAAGTGATGTTAGAGATTTTATTTGGAACTGCAAAAAATTCCACTGGAGTACAAGACTGAATTCAAGGCAAAATCTAGACATGCTGTGAATTTGACATTTTCCTGTATTGTTACAGCTTTTTAATTTTTCAGACCTGAATGTCATGCATGGCTTAAAAGATTGTCCTTCGATGCCACGTGACACAGTGTACTGGTACTACCACAACAGATTTCTTTTTTTCCAAATGAGGGCTAGGTCTATCCTGCTATTCACAGCAAGCAGTGTGTTTAACAGTGTTCATTTTCAGTTACTTCCCAGAGTGGTTAGTTATTAGAAAGTGCTCTTGGCACTTCGGAGCATATCAGCTTCTGTTTGGGATAAGCCAAGCACCTCATATGGGAATTTCGTTGCACTTCTCTTTCAAGTTCTCATACAATGCAAAGACCTTAAAATGTAAATAGCGTTTACTAGCCGGCAATGCCAGTAGTTGTCAGATTTTATTTTCTAGATCACTGCTCATATTAATAGATTGGGTTATGACTAAACTAGAAATAACATTCAAAGAAGAAAATTATTCTTGGAATCTGAAAGCCTTGTATTTGATTTGTGGTCAAGTTGGTTTTTATTAAATAAAAAAAATGCTAAGCAGAACAAATGTAACAGCATTTGAATGTCTTTGTTTGTTAGATGGGGATATTAGAAGAACAGTTGCGAATGCATCTTCAGTGCTGTTTGACATTAAGCTACATCTGGGATGTGAACCTATCTGCTGTCACCATACTCTGGGAGTATTACAGCAAGAATCTGGTTAGTAAACGAGCCTAGGAAAGGTTAGGACTGGACAGGAGCATCTTGAGAAACCACTTGAATTTTATTAAAGAAATAATCCAATGTATAAATTTAAGAACTTCATTGAAATAATCTGCTGTTTAGCAGGGGGGCTGTCTTATTACCTTTATACCCCCCCCCCCCCGAGCTTCTCAGATGTATTCATTGATTCAGTTTATTTCACACTCTGCCACAAAAGCTCTTAGCAGCTTTCAGGTATTTATATTCTAAAAGAAAGAAAGGGGATGAAATTTCTATCAAGTGGTATGGAATTTATCACAGAGGAAAAGAGGGGAGATTGAGAGAGAGGTAGAGAGCACAAGTGCACTACAGTCTCCCAGTGGGCAATCATCTGATGGGTGACTCAGACGGCGGTGCTCTTTTCCCTCTTCTCTTAGCGATAGGACACTGGGTTGATTTTTTAAAATCAGCATAGGAGAGAGTAAGGACCAGTAGGTATGGTCGAGCAGATTATTGTCAATATAGCTTTCCAGAAGTATTTTCTTCACTGGGGTGTTGTCTGGTTTCCATCAGGAGGAAATGCTACTAGAAAATGGCCATATGTCCCAGAAACCACACAAGACCGCAGTGATTCCAGGCACGAAAGCCTTTGACAATACTTTTCTTCATTGTCTTTATTCTGTGACAAAGGAGAAAAGGGACATTTAAATGTTTTCAGATTGCTTGAAGTTTGTGTGTGTGGGGGGAGGCGAGGCGACATTAGATTATTTATTTATTTATTTGCTTTATTTATACCTCGCTTTTCTCAACCCCCAAGGGGACTCAGAGCAGCTTACAGATTATGGCAACATTCAATGCCGCATCATACAACAAATAATAAATATAACATACCAAATTATTGAAAGGTCATATCAAAATCCATAATTTTGCTCCCAAAACCAGGTCTTGATTTAAACATGAGTTTGATTTATACATGAACATATATGTTCCTTAGCAGTAAAGGAAGGCAGGAAAGCTTCTCTACATTTCTACAGGAATGTAGAAATTTTACCCCTTTTCCAATGGTGCAAGTGGCTCTTTGTGCCTTCTTCTCTGCTGAGTAGCAAGACACAATTATGAAGATTAGACTTGAAAATGGGAATTATGCCTTAGCATGTATTGTATAAGCAACTGACTCTTTACAAGCCTCCCTATTGTGAGGTGTGACTATTTGCTCAGTGAGGACCGAGTGACAGTCAGTGGTTCTCCATGGTTTGAAGAAGATACAAGTCATTAACCTTGCTTGCTACTTCGGTCCTATTAACTAGAAGTATTAACTAGTATTCTGCTAGTAAACCTGGGTCCATTTTCACTTTTCCCTAAAACAGACCCATGTCTTTTCATGTAGCATACCCATATATGCCTTTTGTCATTAGGAATAAACATCCTTAGGGTACATAGGGTACCAACTGTTTAAGGAAATATATTAGGTAGGGAGTTGTGCTGATTCCTCTCCCAATTTATTCATTTCTTTGTCAGTTTCTGTTAACTGGTTGGTTTTAGAGCTGGAACTGATTACAGGAAATAGATTACAAAACCCTTCATTGTCAACAAAAAATCTTCATGTAATGAATGTTGAAAGAAAGGTGAAACTCTTCAGTTCTATTTGTGATTCCATTTTATGAAATCTGCTATATTTATTTTTCAGAATAGTTCATTCACTATTCCTTGGATTGGTCTCAAAGGACTCGCAAACATTACTAAAACACCCCTGTCTATGCACAAGGTGGTAAAGAACTGTTGTGGTGATATACATACTCCTGATTTGTATACATCTAGCAACAGTTATCAAATTTTTCTATGCATTTTGGCACAAATAATGAAGAAAGCAGTGAGGACCAGTGGTATTCATCCATGGAAGCAAATCAAAGGAAGGTACAAAGGCTTTGAGAGTTTTCCACTTATTTTCAGTAATCACTATGTATCATCAGTGATAGGGTCATTTCTTCAAAATCTAAGTATCTCTTTATAGTCTTTGTTCGTGAAATGTGAAATATTCCCAAATGAAGCCCTTTTAAACCAGGCAGTTGGGATCAGGTGTTTTTCTAATCTTTGGATTGTAAAATTCTGAGTGCCATTTTATATAAACAGCATTTGTTTTAAAGTACCCTGTGTGACTCATTAGAACTGGTGGCTTCTTTGTTAGCCGGGAGGTGAATCCACTCAGTGGAATCATGAAAGGACCTATCCAAGGTGCTGAATCTATTTTGAAGTTAGCATTTAGCAGTTTAACCAGGTCTTTAAAGTATGATATGAAGTTAGAGTGGGCAAAGTGTGATCCCATGTCCCCATCCTAGTGTTCTCCAAACATCAAGGAAAAAAAATGCTCCTAGGAGGTGTGGGGAATATTTGCCCCTTGGGCATTTAAGGCATAGGGTTAGCCTTAATTTTTTTTTAAAAAAAAACAAACCTGGAAGTTAGTCAGAATTTATTCTGGTTACTTCCTATTTGGGGACGGGGAAGCGGGCTTTTCTAAAAACACAACAAAATTTACCCCACAGCCTTTAGAGCAGGCATGGGCAAACTTTGGCCCTCCAGGGGTTTTGGAGTTCAACTCCCTGAAATCCCAGCTAGCTTACCAGCTGTTAGGAATTGTGGGAGTTGAAGTTTGCCGACACCTGCTCTAGAGGATGTTGAAGGGCATTTCAGGCAACACCCTCACCCCAGGTTGCATTATTTTTTTTGCACTGGGGTGCCACTCCCACAATCACCTAGAGCAGTGGTTCTCAACCTGTGGGTCCCCAGATGTTTTGGCTTTCAACTCCCAGAAATCCTAACAGCTGGTAAACTGGCTGGGATTTGTGGAAGTTGTAGGCCAAAACACCTGGAGACTCACAGGTTGAGAACTACTATTCTAGAGAGATAATTCAGCCCCCTAGCTTCCTAGATCTATCTACCCCTGTTCTAGACATCAAGCAGATGCACCACTCCTCTTATTGTGGAAGCTACTTTATGCACCATAAGTAATCCAATCTTTCTTATGTCTCTGTCTCTGCTACTCTTCTTTCTGCCCCCAAACTGGGGAATAGGGAGGGATAGTGGTCTGGAGGAATCCTTGCTATGTAACAGAGGTAATGCAGTGGGTCAGAGTTGCATGAACAGCTTTGCATGGTATCCTTTTTACTTTTCTGGCCTAGCACTTCCTGAAGTCATGACATGAAATCTAATGAATTGCCCACTAGATGTCTAGTACAGTAGATGTCCTCCATACTTAAAGGAGGAAAGAGAAAAAGAAGCTGCTGTTTATTCTTTAACATTTAGCTTGCATCAGGACAAACTGAATATAAAACAGATTGTAAGAGAAAGTTTTTGTGTTTTGTTTTGTTTTGATGCAGAATTTATTCCAAATTCCACCAGAAGCGGATGAGAGAACTGACTGAAGTGGGGCTGCAAAACTATTTCTATCTTTTCCTTCTGCTTGCAGCCATCGCAGAGACGGAGGATGTTTCCAGCCGCATGACGGAACTCTTGCGCTGCTTTAGCCCAAGTTCCACTAGCATCCCACTGAGAGCTCTGATCTGGAGAGGATACTTTGCCTTTATGTTAACATATGTTGAGAAGAACATGGACATCAGTGTTCTAGCAGAAGAAATCTCAAATGCCTTCCATGAAAAGGCAAAGGAGTTCTTGGTAGGAAGAAATGACCTCTTGCAAAAGCAAAATCTCTGGATGCTGCTTTCTACCTACCTTGATGGCGTCCAAGAGGTTTTTGAGATTAGTCGCTGCTTGAATCTCTCTGAGGAAAAGCTGTTGAGTGAAGGTTTTAGCATGTTGCTCCCAGGTTGCCGAGGAGCTGAACTTTCAACAGTGCTAAACCTCTTGCAAGATGTTCTGTTCAGGCTGAGGTAAGGATTTATGTATGGACGTTTTCTTCTAGCTTCTAACTTGCTTAAATAACACTTAACAGACTTATGTTATATCTTTGTTTGCTTAATTATTCAGACTGCTGAAAAATGCTCTTCATCCATGTGGATACTAATGTGATATGCAAGTATGATTAACATAATGTGCAATTTAGATAAGAGTGCTAGAGCTCCATTGTAATCAGTGTTGAAACAGAGAATGTAACAAATAAACAGAAAGGACAAAGGCAACCCATATAAATGCCGGAGCAAAAAAGATTTTAAACTGGTGCCAATTGAAGTGCTTATGAGTAAGGCAGATCATGCCTTTCAGTGCTCCCAAAGTGAGCTATTTAAAATCAGAAACCAGCCCCAGAGTGTGAACAGAAATGATGTGACATCACTTACAATGCACCAGGATGCACAAGTTGTTTCCTTGTCTCAGAACACGAGAATGAATTTCTATATGTTGTGAGGACACAGGCCTATTTTCTCATTTTGGCAATAGTTTATTTTGGGCAACAGTTGACTTGGTAGATAGCAAATATTATGGCATAGCATCACAAAAACACATACAAAATGCAAAAAATACCAAAGATTATGTATTTACTTTAGGGTGTATTTTGGACAATAGTTGACTTGGTAGATAGCAAATATTATGGTACAGCATTACAAATCACAAATATAAATGCAAAATGTAAAAAGATACCAAATCTAATGTATTTAATTTAGGATAAATTTGTGTAAATGAGCAAATTTACAAGGCTGTGAATGCTTGGAATTTTAAAAATGTGAAGCAGTATGTGTTGCTGAGAGAGGTGAGAGATAGATGTTCAAAAGTAAGGGCAATGTTAAATGGTATGCAAAAGAATCTTGTAACATCTTTGAGAGATCCTTCCAGACAGCCATGTAATCTGGAGTAATGAACTGAGATTAAAAGTCCCAGTACCTCAAGGAGAGTCCACTCACGGACCCATTAGTCCCAGTAAATCAGTGGTTCCCAACCTGTGGTCCACAAACCACCAGTGGTCCACAAGAACAAAAATATGGTCCACGGCCCTCTCATTACTACACCTTTGCTTCGAAACCACATGGCAATGAGAGTGACTGGTCTTGCGAAACCCTCTTATGGTGCCGAGGCAACAGGATTTTGGGAGGGGAGAGGCTGACTACCCATGAAAGATTACTACTACTACATCAGCTCTAGATTACTAAATATGGTCTTCTGTGGGCGAGCAGATGCTGACTACTGTTCTGTATCAGGTTTTAGAGCTAATGTGGTCTATCCAATGCAATTTTCTGAATAAGCTCCCCAAATATCCAAACCAAATCTCGTAAAATTGTTGCAGTGCTGATGTGGATATAATAAAGTACGCACAAGCAGATTTTCTGTCATTTTCTCTCCTTATCTTCACTCCTGGTGCCTCCAGGTTTGCATTCTTGAACCTCGTTTTCCTTTGGGGTCACTTGCCTGCAACATGCTAGTGTGCACTGTGTAATTTCAGGCTCCATTTCCTTTCAATTAAACACAGGAAATGGGTTTTCAGCCCTGTGTAGATGGGTCCTGAGACTTACTGGGAAGTTTATAGCATAAGGTTTTGTAAACGGCATCTATGAAAACTTCAACATCTGATGCATCATCTGACGCAACTAAGAACTCATCTGATGAGGTAGACCCAATGAACAAAAGCTTATGCTATAAAGATAGTTCTGCCATTTTCAAAGGTGCTACAAGATCCCTTTACATAGTGATACACTCGCTATATCTTAGACTGTATTTCCCTGGTATTTCAGAGAAAGGGGTCTTGTAAAACCACCTCTGAGTATTTCTTGCCTAAGAAAACCCTATAAAATTCATGGGGACATAATAAGTTGATAGGCAAGTTGAAGATACATACCCCAAGCAGAGAAGGCAGTGGAGAGTAAGATGGGGGGCTCATTGGAGGTTGTACCTCTTGTCCAAGCTGGAGCATCACCCAAAGTGAAGAGACGCTCAGCTGTTCTGCATTGTCCAACCTGAGTTTCAAGTACAACCACATCTCTCATCCATCAGCATATTTAAGAAGCAGCTTCCTTGGGGCAGAGTGCCATAAATATAATGTGGTTAAAGTACCAAAGTGTTAAGGCATCAGAGCTTATTGACTGTGGTTCTATTACTCCTGCTGCACTTTGAAAAATAGCTGGGCCAGCTCATTGCTGCTTTCCATAGGTTTGCTTATAGAGAGAGTGGGAGGGAGAGAGAGAGAGAGAGATCTGATATAATACAAGTAATAGCAATTCCAATATAGTAATTATTGGAACTTTACAGTCTTATCTAAGTTCCTAGATAGATAAAAACTGCATAAAGTGTAATAACAAGTAGTGAGGGGAAATGGGAGATTAGTGATTAAGTGCTGATCAATTTTGCCTTGATTTATCGATACGTTTTACAACCTCCAAGCTGTCCTTTCTGCAATAAACATGCTTGTGCCCACTAATTCATATTGGAGGCAGCTCTTCATTTTGATGCCAAAAGCTACAGTAGGAAGGTTGGAAGACATCTTTCCCTTGTCATCTTGCCACAAGGCCTAATGAGGCAGTTATTGATTGGTCAGTGCAGAAACCTGAGGATTAGTCAGGGAGGGGCCGAAGAAAATATGCATTATAAACAGTTGGGGGGGATACTGACCTGCATGCTTACCTTAAGTGCTTTGTTACTGTCTGGATAGTTTGACTTCTGCTGTCAGTAGCTTGTAAATCCAAGGACAACTGATTTTTTTCTCTCCTAGGCTGTGTTTGAACAAAGATAAAGCAGTTGACAAAGTGTAGGTGATTTATTAGGAGGGTCCTTGTAAATTGGTTCAACTTAGTCTTTAAAAAGTAGAAACTATCCAAATGCAAAAGACTGCATCCCCTCCCTCTCCTTCTCTTTGATTGTTCAAAAGTGTGTCTTGCATACTACCTTGGAAGATCCTTTGATTTTGAATGACTTGTGTAAAATCAACCCATTGGGTATGTTCAAATATTTTTTTAAAAAAGAATAAAGAAATAAACATTTCAATTAGGGGCGGGGGGGGATGTTAATCGAAGTTAAAATAATTGATCTCCCTTATTCAGTGTAATTGGTTTGGAACCAGGTTTCATGAAAGGAAGCACTCCACCCATTTCACAGACGTGGATCAGAACCAGTGGATATTTTTTTTTCTCAGCAAGATATTTCTACAAGCAGAAGTGGGAAATGATTTTGCTGAATTCTCACTGCAATCCCTAGACCCTGCCTCCCAATCCAGATTCAAAAGAATCCCCCAGTTTCTTAGACCATAATGTGCCTGAATACAATTTGCATTACTTCGATTTTAAAAGGTTCTAGAACAATGTTTCTCAACCTTCCTAATACCGCAACCCCTTAATACATTTCCTCATGTTGTGGTGACCCCCAACCATAAAATTATTGTCGTTGCTACTTCATAACTGTAATTTTGCTACTCTTATGAATTATACTGTAAATACCTTTTGTGCCTTTTGTAAGCCGCCCTGAGTCCCCCCTAGCGGGTTGAGAAGGGCGGGGTAATAGCACCCCAAATAAATAAATAAATAAATAAATAAATATCTGATATGCAGGATGTATTTTCATTCACTTGGACCAAATTTGGCACAAATACCCGATACACCCAAATTTGAATAATGGTGGGGTTGGGGGGATTGATTTCTTCATTTGGGAGTTGTAGTTGCTGGGATTTATAATTCACCTATAATCAGAGCATTCTGAACTCCACCAACAATGGAATTAAACCAAACTTGGCACACAGAACTCCCATGACCAACAGAAAATCCTGGAAGGGTTTGGTGAGCATTGACCTTGAGTTTTGGAGTTGTAGTTCACCTACATCCAGAGAGCACTGTGGACTCAAATAATGATAGATCTGGACCAAACTTGGCATAAATACTCAGTATGCCCAAATGTGAACACAAATGGAGTTTGGGGAAAATAAATCTTGACACTTAGGAGTTGTTGTTGCTGGGATTTATAGTTCACCTACAGACAAAGAGCATTCTGAACTCTGCCAACAATAGAATTGGGCCAGACTTCCCACACAGAACCCCCATGGAAGGGATCCACTGGTGCGAGCCTCCCTCCAACCACGCACATGCTCCCTTGCCTGCATATGCGCACCATGCTGCCATCCGCCTACACGCCTGCTTGGAGTCTCAGAAACAGCCCTACCCTTGGCTGAGGGGCCGGCCAATCACAGCAGAGGAGGGCTTTTGGTGGGAGGATTTGCCATCTGTTTCCAAAAAGGAAGAGAAGGACAGGCGGAGAGACCTTCAGCCTTTTCTGCCAAAGGGGTTCCTAATACCATCCAAAATAGGCTTTCTGGTGGTCTTTGGCTATCCCTCTGAAACCCCCTCACTACCCCACCAGAGGTCCCAACCCCCAGGTTGAGAAACGTTGTTCTAGACAAGTGTCACAATAATGTTGTTCCTTTTGGACTATTTGAGTAAATGAATTTACCACCACCCCACACACATACCAGACATCAATTTTGTATAATATAAATGTACAGTGACAGAATAGTAATCCAGTTTATTTTACAATTGTGGAAAAGTTATGTGTGTTCATACACACACACACATACACATCCATGTGACAAAAAGAGGGCTATAGAGCAGTATGTTTGGCCAGAGGAATAGCATATGTTCTTGGCTACCTCTTCAATTTGGCAAAGGGAGAACTGTCTCAGCGTAGCAATCCTTTTATGTTTTAAGATCCAGATGGGAATAAGATATCAGCCCTTGTATAACTGTAATATTTCTGCCAACTGCACTGGGTGTAATACTTCTCGGACTGTCAGAATTTGCAGGTAGGTAGGAAAGGAGACCACTGATTAAAGGGAGAAGCAGCTCCCTGCAGGCAGTTAGTTAATAATAACTTCATATGCCACTTTTCTGCTAACCTAAGATGATGGCTCACAGGAGCATTCCTTTATTGCTGATTAAGTAGCATTATGAAAATACTGACTTGG